TATATATATTTAGGAGTCGAGCGAGGGTATATGGTGGCCACCATCTGGGAACATCATATCAAATATTGACCAATGGGCGTATCGGCCTTATCAAAATATTATTTAATCCTCCGAAGGGATCGCTTATGAGTTCCTTTGTCTCTCCATCTAAGACAATGGATTTTAACCCTGCATTGTTTTTTTCTCTCTTAACTTTCATCAAACAATAAATTTTTCACTTTAAAGGCTTTTTTTCCTGTTCACGATATTTTTATGGGAAAATTTCTCTTTCGATTTAATAATAATTGTTTTTCAATTAAATTTTTCGATTCGTCGTTCGATTATATTTTTGTCATAAAAGTAGAAATAATAATAATAATAATAATAATTAGAAATAAATATAAAAATAAATTTTATTCTCTCTATTAAATTTAGAAGAAAACTCAGAAAATATTTTTTTAATTCAAAAATAAGTATAGCCAACTAAAATAATATGTTTGATTTAAAAATATTTTATAATTTAATTAAACGTAATTTTTATTGAATAAAACTTATTATATGTTGAATCCTCGGTTGAATCAAAATTATTATGTTTAATTTAAAAATCATTTTTGGTTGACTGTATAACAAAGATAATTATGCTTGATTGAAATATATTGTTTTCCCAGTTCACCATTATTTTTAATTACATCCAGAAAATAATTTAAATATTCCATAAAATTGTTTTTTTTAATATTATTTAAAGAGGAATTCAATGTTTCTGAAATAAAATTGATCAGAAAATATTTTGGCACTTAAACATTTTTTTTTTAACCAAAAGTAAAATTTTGTTCGTAAAAATTGTTTGATTTTTTAGAAAATATATTTTTGTATCCACAAAAAAGTGCCAAATGAAAAAATTGATTTTTACTATTTTTAGAGCTTTTTTTAAGAAAAAAAAACATTGTTTTTAGGTTGAAAATGCTAAAAAATTCCATTGTTATCCAATTTTTCTAACAGATTTTAGAAAACTTTTTATTAAAAAAAATATATATAAAAAAGATATTGATTTGAAGTTAGTTTGAAAAATAAACAAGTGAACTAAAAATAGTAACAGTAAAAAAATACTAAAAGTAAAAAACAGTGAAAGTAAAAAAATACCAAAAGTTCAAAAATACTGAAAGAAAAATAGTAATAGTAAGAAAATATAGTAAAAGTAAAAATAATAATATTAAAAAAATACTAAGAGTAAAATTAGTAATAGTAAAAAATATTAAAAGTAAAAATCGTTGGTTATAATAAATAAATAGTAAAAATAAAAATAGTAATATTAAAAAAATACTAAACGTAAAAATGGTAATAATTATTTTTTCATTAAAAAAAAAATTTAAAAAAAAGATAAAATTTTGATTTGAAATTAGTTAGAAAAATAAACATGTGAATTTTGAAGTAAAAAAATTGAATAATAAAAGTATTTTTTAGAATTCTAAAAACTAAGAACTCAGCTTTTTTCTAAAAGAAAAAAATGCTTTAAAACTAATAGAAATAAATTTTATTTTTCGTCAATTTTTTTGTGGATACAAAAAAAAATTTTTCTACAAAATTACACTGAAAAAAAATTTATTTGATTGAAATAACCGAATATTTGACTATCAATTAAATATTTACTTGAATTATATAATTGCTTCCTTTATTTGAGTCAATTAAATGGTTCAATATATATTTACTTCAAATACTAAAATTATTGGTTTAAATAAAATTTAAATGATTTAAATAAAAATTTCTTGACTTAAATAAATATTTCTTCACTCAAATAAATATTTCTTGACTCAAGTAAATATTTATTTCATAATAGAAAAGTAATCGATTATTTGAATCAAATAGATTTTTTCAGTGTACACATTGTTTTTCAAAATCTACCACTTTTCATAAAAAATAAAATTTCAAAAAGGGTAAAAATATTTTCTGATAGATTTTTTTATTGACTTCTGAAAAAAATTACTATAAAAATAAATTTCTGGAATATTTAAATGATTTCAATATTATTATTTTTCAAACCTATTTTCATTATTTCAAATCAATTATTATTTTCTACAATTTTTAAATTTTTTTTATGAAAATAAATTAATTCCTTAAAAAAAATTTTATTATTTATAAAAATAATTGAATTATTGCGAAGGAATTTATAAAAAAATTTGTAAATAATTGAATTCCTGAGAAATTTTTATATGAAAATAATTAAATGTTTGCGTACTATTTTTGGGAATTTGAAATTGATTTGAAAATAATTGAACTTTGAGGAAGAATTTTGTTATTTATAAAGATAATTGCGATTTTGACGAGAATATTTTTTAAATTTAAAAGAGAATTGAATTTTATGAGAAGAATTTTATGACTCTTGAAAATAATTGAATTTCTGCAATTATTTGTAATTTTTCCAAAATTGGATTTTTTCTAATGTTTTCAACAAAAATTTTGAATTATAAAGGTTTAAATTCTATTATTTTTAACATTGTTAATTTTACCGCAAAAAGTTAGTAGCGCGAATTGTTGCTAGTATAATTAATAAAAATTCAGTAAGTTACTCACTGCTTTTTGGTAAAAAGAAAAAAAATATTAAAGTCCTCTCTTCGCACAGCTGAACTTGTCGGTACTGAAAAATATTTTTATGGTTTCGTCATTTGCCACTAATACCAAACAAAATGTTCAACTCCTGGTACCGGTTGACACTCCCCATATATGCTTTCTTCATTCCTCATGAAATTCACTCCAGTATTGTTTCTCAATTTCTGATCGAAACTTCGATATTCCTCCCCATTGGGAATTTAAATTTACGAAAATTTCTCGTTTTTTCTCTAGAGAAAATCTATAATTAATAACTTTCGTTTTAATTTTCTTCTTTTTAGTTTTTTCTCTTTTAGAAAAAAATTGTCTTTTTAGTTTACAAACATTTCAGTTATAACTAAAACAGTATGAGATCGAAAAATTCAGACGGTGAGTATAAAAAGGTTTTTTTTTTTTGAGGAATTTTTTTTTTTAATTTTGTGATGCGACCGCATTGGCGATAGAATATTTTCTACTACTGGATTGATTCGCGAAATACCAATGTGAATATGATATGATATTCTGTGTGCAAAACGCGAACTTATGATCGCGTGCAACGTCAATTGTTTTTGCCAGAGAATATTCTGCGGTTTTCGTGACATTAAGATTGGTAAAGTATGCATTAAACATAGAAGGCACACGATCATTTCAGAATGACTGAATTTTGGTTTAACGGTCGTACTTTCTGTGCCTGGTTATTTGACCCTATTGCCTGGTGATTATAATGAAACAAGTGCATTCATTTTTATATTCTCAGTGTTTTACGATCAAAGCTTTGAAAAATACACTTTCTTTCTGGTTTCAATTTTTGTGACATAAACTTTTTGATATTTCTCTTTCAAAGTGTTTTTGGTTTTTTGCTGTTTTGATAATTTTCTTCTCTTAATTTTCATTTATTTTTTACTGTTTTTTTTACAATTGTTATTTTTTTTTAATTTTTACTTTTATTTCCTATTTTTTTATTTTACTGTTTTATTTTACTTTTTTATTTTTGAGTCTCGTTTAATATTTTCTTTTCATTCAAACTATTAATTTTCTTATTACTTTTTTAAAATTTTTATATTCCTTTTTTATTTTTTTACTTTATTTTATAATTTTGAAAGTCTAAATTTTCGTTCAATAATTTGTTTTCTTTTTAGTTTCTTTTTTGATTGAAATGAAAATTTAAGTTTTATAGTAAATTGAAATTTTATTTAATTTGCAAATTTTTTATTTTAGTTGATTTTAAATAAAGAAAATATTTTTTTTCAATTTTGACTTTTCTTATATTTTTATTTCTCTTTCTAATTTTTAGAATCTAGATTTTCGTTCAATATTTTCTTTTCTTTCAAACTATTAATTTTCTTATTACTTTTTTAAAACTTTTATATTCCTTTTTTATTTTTTTACTTTACTTTATAATTTTGAGTGTCTAACTTTTCATTTAATAATTTCTTTTCTTTTTAGTTTCGTTAATGGTTGAATATTTAAGTTTTATTTCAAACTGAAATTTTATTTAATTGTCAAATTAATTATTTTAGTTGATTTTAAATAAAGAAAATATTTTTTTTTAATTTTGACTTTTCTTATATTTTTATTTCTCTTCTAATTTTTAGAATCTAGATTTTCGTTTAATATTTTCTTTTCATTCAAACTATTAATTTTCTTATTATTTTTTAAAAATTTTATATTCTTTTTTTATTTTTCTACTTTACTTTATAATTTTTACTTTTTTGTATTTTTCTTCTACTTTATAATTTTTCGAGTTTAGATTTTCATATATTATTTTATATTCTTTTTGACTATTTTTTCCAAAATTATTATTTTTTTTGAAATTTTTGCTTTAATTTTTTATTTTATTTTATATAATTTCTAGTCTAAATTTCCACTTAATATTTTCTTTTCCTTTAGTTTCTTTTTTAGTTGAAAATTTAAATAAAATTTAAATTTTCAAATTGAAATTATATTTCATTTACAAATTAATTATTTTAGTTGATTTTAAATGAAAAAAATATATTTTAATTAAGATTTTTTAATTATTTTAATTTTAATTTTTAATTTTTAATTTTTAGAATCCTGATTTTCCTATAATATTTTATTTTTTTTTTTGACTATCTATTCTTTTCCTAATATTATTTTTTTAAAGTTATTTTTCCTTTCTTATTTGTTTATTTCACTTTATAATTTTTAGATTCCCGATTCTAGAGTTTCGTTTAATATTTCCTTTTCTTTTTAGTTTTTTTTTTTGTCTGAAAACTTAATTGCAAACTGAAATTTTATTGAATTTCTAAATTAATTATTTTAGGTAATATTTTAAAATTTAAATATAGACAATTTTTTTTGTGAATCGAGTAAAATGTAAAAAGAAATAAGTGAAAAATTTTAATAGTGATAGTAATTTTTTCTTTTGACTTAATAATAATTTTTTTTTTATTTCTACTATTTTTCCCTGTGAAAAGAAATGTCGGGTCCGGAAAATCCGACGGATTTTCGCTTGGAATTCATTGGATCGATTGTGCAAAAATCGTTGAAACTGAAACCGGAAAAATGGGGACGTTTACTGTTGACTGAAGAACATCGAAATTGTGTTTTGGATTTTTTGGACAATCCAATTCCAGCTGCACTTTTCGTTGTGCTCACGCCAAATGCGCAATTAATTCCTTCTTGTGGATTTCCAATTCCATGTCAAAGGACTAAAGGTAATTCCTTTTTTTTTAAATTTCAAACATTATTCAAAAGTAATTAATTTTTATTACATTGACAAAATTTTTTAAAAATTTTATCATTATTTTAGCTGATTTTGCGCTCTTTTTTTTAAATTAAAAAAAGTGTTGTTCAAACCAGAAGGAAAAAGGAGAAAAAAAAGAAAGATAATATTAAAAGGATTTGTAGAAAATAAGAAATTGTAGTAAAAATAAAAATATTATCAATTTTTTTTGTAGAACAAAAAATTAGTTTTTTCTTTTCAATGAAATTTTTTTTTCGTCAGGAATTTACACGATAAAAGTGAAGATATCTTCAGTGCCAAACGATCAGAATGGATGTTCGTCAATGCTCATCACCGGTGACTTGTCTCACCGAGTGGTCGACGAGCTCGCCACTCTCGTCGACAATATTTTCTCTCCTCTCCTCAGTAAAAAAGAGAATCACAAAAATCTTCCGGAAGTGGCACTTGAGGACATCAATAGACACGTTTATTCCCTAAGAGGAACCCTTTATCAAGTAAATTCTTTTTCGAGAATAATGATTTTATCTTTTTTCTTCCAAAAAGACAAAAAAAAATTTTTTTTACAAAAAATGTGTTATATTTATAATATTTTACCTATTGATAATATTTAGCAAATAGTATTATTAATTTTATATTATTATTATTTATTTCTTATTTTTTTCCTCTTTTACTGTTCTTACTTTTACTAAAATTTTAATTTTTTGACTATTATATATTATTAATATTAATATATTAATAGTATTAAAAATATCAATAATAATTATACAGATTAATATATTTTATTACTAAAAAATTAAACAGAAATGTTTTTTATTTGAATTATTTTTCTTTAAAAAAAAATTTCTTTCCTAAAAAATAAAATCTTTTTTCTTTATTTTCCACTCTTTTTTTAATTTTTTTTTCCTCTCAAAAAATTTTATTAAACAAGTTTCGAGGGAAAAATAGGAGTTTATATACGATCACGAAATAAGTGAAAAAATGCTGTAAATAAATATGATTTTATTGCCAGGTCAAGGGTCAGGTGAATGGAAGAACTGTACTTCCAATGCCAGCAGGTCTCGAGAAAGTGTCAGAAGTTGAAAGATTGGTTACCACCGAAGGACCACAGGCGGTCGATTTATATCTCAAAAGTTCAATAGAAGGTGTGGTGATTAAATGGGCTTATTTGGTGAACGATGTCGTTACACAAGAATCTGGTTCGGCTTTTGAAAATGGACAAAATCCCACTCCCGACGTTGAAATTGAATTTTGGAACAAAAGACTCGCAAACTTGAGGTTTCACATTTTTTTTTTGCTCTTTTACTTGAAATTCCAAAATAAAAAAATTAATTTTCTATCTTGTTTTATCAACTTTTAGGAGAATGAATTAAATATTATTTTTTATAATAATAAGAAATAAGTAAAAATACCAAAAAATAGTGAAAGAAATAGCAAAAGAATAAATAGTAAAAAAATACTAAAAGTAGAAAAATAGTGAAAGTAAAAATAGTATGTACCTAATATTAAAAAAAAAATAAAATACTAATAAAATACTAAAAGTAAAAAAATAGTGAGGGTAATAATAGTAATAGTAAAAAAATACTAAAAGTAAAAAATACTGAGAGTAATAATAGTAATAGTAAAAAAATACTAAAAGTAAAAAATAGTGAGAGTAATAATAGTAATAGTAAAAGAATACTAAAAGTAAAAAATAGTAAAAGTAAAAATATCAATATTAAAAAAATACTAAAAATAAAAAAAATAGTGAGAGTAATAATAGTAATAGTAAAAAAATACTGAAAGAAAAAAAATAGTGAGAGTAATAATAGTAATAGTAAAAAAATACTAAAAGTAGAAAAATAGTAAAAGTAAAAATATCAATATTAAAAAAATACTAAAAGTAAAAAAAAATAGTGAGAGTAATAATAGTAATAGTAAAAAAATACTAAAAGTAAAAAATATAGTGAGAGTAATAATAGTAATAGTAAAAAAATACTAAGAGTAAAAAATAGAGAAAGTAAAAATATTAATATTAAAAAATACTAAAAGTAAAAAAATAGTGAAAGTAAAAATATTAATAATAGAAAATACTAAAAGTAAAATTAGTAATAGCAAAAAATAATAGTAAAGTAAAAATACAAATATAGTTAAAAAGTACTAAACGTAAAAATTAATGAAAGTCGTCTAAAAAAATAAAATAAATGAATAACAAAAAATTGCAGATACATTTTCGATCAATTGCGAGAGGAGCGAGTGAAGAAAATGGCGAAAATTTTAGAGCTCACTGAAAGCGCATATTTTCCATGTTTTCGAACGCTTTTCGAAAATATTGTCTCATCATTGGCCGAGTCGAAAGAATTGTCTCTCTATTTATCGCCATTGGCAAAATTTTTCAAATCCATTGAGGAAACTGATTTTGCCGAGGCAAAACCATTAATGGCAATTGTTATTCATGCCGTTGGCCTTGCATGGGCGAAGACAAAATATTATCAAAACTCGTCAAAATTAATAATCATGCTGCGTCAAATTTCTAATTTGTTGATTCAAGAAGCTCGACGCTTTCTCGATCCAACGTTAATTTTTCAGAGTGACGTTGATGAAGCTCTACAGAGGGTTCAAGTTTGTCGAGGTAATTTAAAATTTTAATTAAAGTAAACCATATCAACACCAGTGGAATTCATTTTCCTTTTTGCTTACACAATATATATATTTTCAAAGTAAAAGAAAATTTTTTTTCTGTTTTCTTTTTCTTTCTATTCGATCTTCTTTGTTTCTTTTTCACTTTTTTTCTTTGCTCCCATTTTTTATTTTTTTGTTTCTTTTTCTATTTTCTTTGTTGTCTTTCCTTTTTTCCTGATTTTTTTCTTATTTAGCTTCTACCTCCTTTGTTTCCTTTAATCCTATTTTCTTTTTTTCATCTTTTTTTAATTTCGATTATTTTCAATATCATCGATTTTTTTTGTTTTTTTTTCCTGTTTTATTTATTTTCTCTTTTCTTTGCTTCCTTTTGCTTTCTATTTTTCTACTTTTTTCTCTTGCTTTTCTATTTTTTTCTTTCATTGTTCCTATTTTCTTTGCTTTCTTTTGATTTTTTCATTTCTGATTTCATTGTTTCTTTAATTCTTCGTTTCCTTGTTTTCTATTCCTTCTTTTTAGTTCTTTTCTAATTTTCTCTGTTCTTTTTTCCCTGTTTCATTTATTTTCTTTTTTCTTTGCCTTCTTTTTCCTCTTTCTGTTTTTCTTAATTTTCTATTTTTCTTCTTTCTATTTTCAATTTTTCCTTTTTTCTTTGTTACCATTTTTCTTTTTTTTCCCTTTTTCTTCTTTTCCTACTTTCCTACTTTCTATGTTTTTTTATTTTCATTTTTCTTCTTTTAGTTTTAGATTATTTTCTTCCTTTTCAAATTTATTTGTTTTCTTTTATCTTATTTTCTCCTTTTTCTCTTTTCCTATTTTTTATTTTTATTGTTTTCTATTTTTTTACCTTTATTTCCTATTTTTTCCTACTTTCTCATTTTCTTTCCTTCTTTTGTTTCATTTTTTTTCCTATTTTCTTTGTAATTTTCTTCTAATATACTTTTTTCTTATTTTTCGTGTTTCCTTTATATTTATTTTTGTTATTACCAAATTTATTTACTTTGTTCTTTCTTATTTTCCTTTTTCTCTTTTTTTTCTTCTCCTTTTTACTTTCTTTTCTTTTTATTTTCTGCTTTCATTGTTTCTTTAAATCTTTGTTTCCTTTTATTATATTTCTTCTTCTTATTTCCTTTCTAATTTTCTTTGTTATTTTTTCCCCATTTTATTTATTCTCCTTTTTCTTTGCCTCCTTTTTTTCATTCTTTTTTTCTACTTTTTCTTCTTTCTTTTTTTCTTGATTTTCTATTTTTATTCTTTCATTGTTCCTATTTTCTTTGTTTTCCTATGATTTTTTTCATTTCTGATTTCATTGTTTCCTTTTTTTCTATTTTTTCTTTTTATTTAATTTCTAATTTTCTTTGTTTTTCTTTTTTATCTGTTTTATTTTTCTTTTGCTTTCTTTTTACTTTTTTTTCCTATTTTATTTTGTCCCCTTTTTTTATTTTCCTACTTTCTATGTTTTTTATTTCTATTTTTCTTTTTTTAGTTTTACATTATTTTCTTCCTTTTTAAATTTCTTTGTTTTCTTTTATCTTATTTTCTCCTTTTCCTCTTTTTTATTTTCATTGTTTTATACTTTTTTCTCCTTTTTTACATTTTTTCTTATTTCTATTTTCTTTGTTTCCTTTGTTTCCTTTTTTCTCATTTTCTTTTCTTCCTTAGTTTCATTTTTTTCCTATTTCCTTTGTAATTTTCTTCTCATTTTCTTTTTTCTTATTTTTTGTGTTTCCTTTATATTTATTTTTGTTATTTCCAAATTTATTTGCCTTCTTCTTTCTTATTTTCCTTTTTCTCATTTTTTTCTTCTCTTTTTTTCTTTGTTTTCTTTTTATACTTTTTTCCATTCTCATCCTTTTTTCCTATTTTCTTTTTTTCTATTGTTTCTATTTTCCTTTCCTCCTATTTTTGTTGCTTTCTTTGTTCTTATTTTTTTCCTTCCTCTCCTGTTTTATTTTTCCTTTGTTTCCTTTTTTTCCTCTTTTACTTTTTTCCTATTAGCTTTTAATTTTCCATTGTCTTTTTTTCTTTATATCACTATTTTCCTATTTTTCTTGTTCCCTTTTGTTAATTTTTTTTCTTTTCTATTTTTTTGTTTTTTTTTGCTATAATTCTTCCTGTTTTCTTCTTTTCCTTTTTTCTCTTCTCTTCTTTTCCATTTCCTTTTCTCCTATATTTTCTCATTTTTATTCTATTTTTTTTTCTCATTTTTAATTTTTCTTCCTTCAAATAAACAATTTCAGACGTTCTCGAGGAATTTAAAAGGCAATTTGAATTAAGAAAACATGAGCCGGGAATGAAAGAAGAAGCGCCACCGTGGAAATTTGATCCAAATGTGATTTTTCAACGTTTAGATGCATTTTTGAAACGATTGGCAAATATTGAATGGCTTTTTTATACAGTTTTGGAATTTTCAAAATTGGAAAAAGTCGAAGTCGGCGGCATATTGGGAAGGTCGTTGAGTGCAAGAATTGTTAGTGTTTATAAGGAGTTTCAACAACTTTTCACATCATTCACAACAAGATCGACCGATGTACTCGAACCAGACGACGAATCATTTGCCATTGATTGTGAAAAATTCAGTTCTTCAATTATCGATCTCGATAGTAAATTGGCTTCTATTTTGTGTCAAGCATTCGACGATTGTCATAATTTAGAAAGTGTCTTCAAGGTACGAATTTTGTTACAAAAATATTATCAAAGAAATAAAATAAAATCGAAAAGAATAATTAAATTAAATTAAAATCCAATTGAATTAAAATTAAAAGTGAATTGAATTAAAACTTTAGGCAAAAATAATAGAATTAGAGTAAAATTAGAATAGAATTAGAAATAAATTAAAATTAGTTTAGAAATGATAACATAAAATTTAGAAAAAACTAAAATGAATATTGAAAATAGAAAAAACTTCTTTTTGCATTTATTTGGTAATTTTCCGGTTTTGGTGATTTAGAAATAATATATTTTATTGCAGTTGATAAACATTGCGGGATCAGTTTTAGAGCGTCCAGTGATTTGTAAGCAGTTCACGAAACGCTATTCACGTATCCTGGAACTGTTAAAGCATGAGCTGACTCTGATAGAAGTCCTGTTTAATCTGGGTTCACGAGGAGCCATGAGTAACCTTCCCCCATTGGCTGCCGGTTTACAATTTACGAGTATGCTGAGGCAGCGAATCGATCACCCAATTCAAGCCTTCAAATCTCTCCAGCATCCGTGAGTTATCAAAAATTTATCAAAAAAAAATACCAATTTTCTCTTATTTGACAATATTATCAAATTTTCACTCAAGAAAAATAGTTTGAATTGATTAAAAACTTTTTTTTCTTTTTCTCCAATATACACCAGGGAAAGAATTTAATGAACTGACAACTTTTTTTCCACAAGACAAAAACTAGAAAAAAAAATATCTTATCTGACCAAATTTATCAATGAAACTAATACTGATACAATAATTAGAATAAACAAAGATTTTTCTGACTAAACCTTAAAAGACATAAATAGAAATTTTTAATAAATATTCTATTTACTTATCTATTTACTAATATATTCCGAATTCGATAAAATTTTTTCTTATTAAAATTAAATTTTACTACTTTTATAATTGAAAAATTTTCTGACTCCTCACTATTAACAAACTTGTCTGACCAAATTTATCTTCGACTACTTAAAAAATAGTTACAGTCTAATTACAATTTATTTTATTGTGCAGGATTGTTGAATGCGATGTGGGTAAAGATATAATAGTTCGATATGAGAGATTAACGAAAATATTGAATGAAAGAGAGGATTCTCTGTTTAATGAATGGTTAATAATCGTTCCGAGATTCATCGATAAAGGATTAAGTCGATCTCTACTAACGAGAGACACAGTTTCCGTTTTGAGTTTAAATTTTGATCCGGATTTACTTGCTGTTTTGAAAGAGGTCACTTATCTCATTCAAATGTGTGATAGAGAAATTCCAAAAATCGCCCTCGAGGTACTTCACAATATATTTCTAATTTATTTTAAATGCAAGTTTTCAATTTTAATTTACAAAAATATACATAAATTTTAGAATTTAAAGAATTCACTCATAAAGTACATAATATTAAATATTCTTGTTTATTATTATTAAAAAATTTAAAGAAAATTTTTTGCAAGAACTACATTATTCTCATAAATAATAAAATTCTTTAAACCAATTCAATTATTTTCACTACAATTTTAATAAAATTTCTCTAAAGAAATACAATTATTTTTAAAAAATATTAATTAAATTTGATTATTTTCAATAATTTTAATATAAATTCAATTATTTTCAATAGTTTTGATGAAATTATTTTTAAAAAGTCAACATTTTTAAAGTTTTTATTAAAATTTCTTCAAAAAATTCAGATAAAATTCTTTGAAACAATTTAATTATTTTTTATGATTTGTAAAATCCTCTTCATGAAATCAATTATTTTCATAAATAAGAAAATTCTTCGCAAGAATTAAAATATTTTTATAAACGCAATAAAATTCTACAAAAGAATTCAATTATTTTCTTAAATAATAAAATGCTTCGGAGGAATTCAATTATTTCAATACAATTTTAATAAAATTTCCCGAAAGAATACAATTATTTTTAAAAATATTATTTAAATTCAATTATTTTCAAGAGTTTTAATAAAAATTCAATTATTTTCGCAACAAATTTCAATTATTTTCAAAGTTTTCAATTAAAATTATTTTAAATAATTACATTATTTTTATGAAATTCAATGAAATTCTTCAAACAAAATGTAATTATTTAGAAAAACTCTAATTAAAATGTTTAAAAGATAAAATTCAATTACTTTCCAAATTTTCAGTAATAATTATTTTAAAAAAACTTCATTATTTTCAAAAATTTTGAAATAAATTCTTCAAAACAATTTAATTATTTTAAAGAATTTTCATAAAAATCATGCCAAGAATAAAATTATTTTCAATACAATATTAATCACATTTTCTCGAAACAATTCAATTATTAAAAAAATTGTTTATGAAATTCTTGAAATGAATTCAATTATTTTCAAATTTTTTTATAAATACTTTAGAAGAATTCATTGATTTTCAGTACCTACATCGATAATTTAATTATTTCTGAAAATAATTGAATACCAGAATAGAATTTTATTAAAACCTCTTTAAATAATTCAATCCCCGCAAAAAAATTTATTATTTCTACAAGTAATTGTAGGGGAATGTAGTCAAGGTTGGCCTACTGTCTAGGTAGGCCACTCGCGTTTTTTTGTCAAGTTCACTAGCGCCACCTACGCGCATTTTTGTCGAAGCTTGTCTTAGTGAAACCTAACTTTTTGTTCAATTACATTTTCGGAAAATCGAAAATTGTGTTTTCTGTGACGTCGGTACAAAAAAAGCTCAAAAAAAGTTTTGTGCATAATGTGAAAAACCATTAATAAAAGATAAAAAACAAATTGAATCGTCAAGGCAAGTATGCAGAAAATTTGTGGGACTCATGGTTGAAAGGAAAACAAAGTAAAAAATCGAATCCCGAAACGTATTTCTTTATGGTTACAACAATTCGGTAATGTTACTTACTGTCAAGGTCGGCCACTATGTGTTTAAAATGCGCAAAGTTGAGGACGAGCTACTTCATTTGCAAAAACTGCAATTCTGTATAACTCATAATATAATTGATCATCTTATTAATATTTTTATTTAATTTTATTAATATTTTAGTGCAAAACTTTTTTTTATTTATATTTATTTTTTTATATTGTTTATTGTTATTATTTTGTTATTTCATTAAGTTACAAACTGTAAACAATAAAGAATCAATTTTCCGTAACTCCAAACATGTTATTTTATTTTTTAACGATTAATGCCCTTTGAATTTTAAACATGGCCGACCTTGACTGTAATGGCCAACCTGGACTACAAATTTTTTTTTTTTTAAATCTTTATAACTTTTTCATTTTTAAACCTGTCAATTTACTTTGTACAGAAAAAATGTTCCTATTAAACAGGACTTTCCAACCATATACTTCAATTGTCCAAATTCATTTTTAAAAAAAAGTTATAAACAAAAGTCAAAAAGGTGGCCGACCTAGACTATGTTCCCCTATTTATGCAAAATTAAAAAAAAAATTGAGTTTTTGAGAAAAATTTTATTAAAATTGTATTTAAAGTAATTGAATCCCTGAGAAAAATTTACTATTAATATTATTGAATTCTTTCGAAGAATTTAAAAAAAAATGTTTGAAAATAATTGAATTTTCCCTGGAATAAAATTAAAATTGGATTTAAAATAATTGAATTCCAGCAAAAATTTTATTATTTTTAAAAATAATTGAATTCTTGAGTTAAATTTTATTAAAAGTTTTTTAAATAATTGAACTTCTGTGAAAAATCCAATTACTTTTTTTAAATAATTGAATTTTCTTGGAGAATTTTTACATTATTTTAAAAAATATTTGAAATTTTCGAAGAAATCAATTAAAATTGTATTGAAAATAAGTGAAATCCTGATAAAATTCAATTATTTTATAAATATTTTTATAAATACTTTAGAAGAATTAATTGATTTCCAGTACATCGACAATTTAATTATATTTCTGAAAATAATTGAATTCTTGAATAGAATTTTATTAAAACCTCTTTAAATATTTAAATCCCTGTGAAAAATTTATTATTTCTATAAATAATTGTATTTTTGCAAAATTTAAAAAAATAATTGAGTTTTTGAGAAGAATTTTATTAAAATTGTATTTAAAGTAATTGAATTCCTGTGAAAAATTTATTCTTATTAATATTATTGAATTCTTATGAAGAATTTTAAAAAAATGTTTAAAAATAATTGAATTTTCCCTGGAATACAATTAAAATTGTATTTAAAATAATTGAATTCCAGCAAAAATTTCAATTACTTTTTTTAAATAATTGAACTTCTGTGAAAAATCCAATTACTTTTTTTAAATAATTGAATTTTCTTAGAGAATTTCTACAAGACTTTTAAAAATAATTTCAATTTTCGAAGAAATCAATTATTTTATTGACTAAAGTATTTTATTATTACAATTATTGAAAATAATTAAATTCTTCGTAAAATTCAATTATTTTCAAATTTTTTTATACCTAAATACTTTCCAAGAATTTAATGATTTTCAGTACATTAATTTAAAAATTTTAAACATTTAAAAAGAAAAATTATTTTAATAGTTAGGAAACAAAAAAGTAAATTGCAACTAACTTCAAACTGCGAACAAATTACCGAAATACAACGATTATTCATATAGATTTATATTGTTATATAAAAAACATAAAGTCTGCAAAAAATAAAAGAATTAAAAATGGGGAAAAATGGAAAAAATTTATTTATTAAATTAAATTTCTAACTCAGGTGTCGGAGGCGTCAGAAATGTTTCGCAACTATCGAACATTATTGGGAGGCACTGTGATATCGTACAACAATATTCGCAAGACATCCCGTCGCGTTGAATTTCATCTGATAGAACATGAGGTCGCCAAAGTAGATTCCCTCGTGTCTCGAGGTGAGAAGGAACTATATTGGAAATCCAAAGGCCTCAATGATTATATAAGTGAATTAGGTTCTCTGGTGGAAAATCTTTGGGGTCGGGTAAAAGCGAGTCAAATCAATGTCGATAAAATTCAAAGTATCTTTGAGTCCTGGATAAGAACGCCCCTAATCGAGAGGAAGGATCATCGTAAAGATTTACTTCTATCGCTTGATGAGAGAGTGGAGAAAGTTTCAAAACGTTATAAAGATATCAAAAATGCAGCCGACGAGATTCATTCGCTGTTGGGGGAAAATCAATTGTGCTTTGAAATTACTGACACTGATAATGAGGCGTGGAAGGAGTATGTGGCATTTATTGACGATATGGTGATGGAATCGTTGAGAAAAACAGTGGGTTGTAGTCTTAGTTATCTGGTGGAAAATATGGATCCAGTTTCGCAGAGGGAGCCATTATTTGAAGCATCGTTAGAACTTCGTGAACCTGATCTTTATTATGTCCCTTCATTAGAGCCTGAGGATCCCGATGGTTTGGATCGTTTAGTCACTGGATTGTTGACCGATATTATTGGAATGTCCACACTTGTGCCACGTCTTAAGAATGATAAACCATATGCTGATGAATTGGAAGACGATGAGGATATTAAGTCAATGAAGGAGGAAATTCTTTTTGGTGTTAATAGAGCAATTGAGGAGGCTATGGATTTTTGTGGTGTATTTGAAGGTATTTTTGTTATCTGAGAAAATAATATTTGGAATAAATAAAAATTTCTTTTGGTTCTGCAATTACTTGGTAAACATTGCAGAACCAAAACAGAATTTTTATTCTGTCTGACTAAACCAAATTTATACTACTTATAAATTTACTAAATTCCTGTAATTAGATAATTAAAATAAATATCAAATTGTCCCCACGTCGAAAAATTCCATGGAATTTCCGTGGACATTCAGTGAAAATTTTGCAAGTTTTATATTTTGATATTATTTTAACATTTTTATTATGATTATCACTGTAAAAAAAAGCTGATTTCGGTATTAAAATAGAACTAAATTACGATTTAGTACCAAAATTGGTACTTTTTGAAAAAATAAAAAAAAAATTGAACTTTTCTTTTTACAGTGTAGAGTCTAATAATAAGCTTTGTTTTAATTTATTTGCAAAACTTGAATGAAATACGCATTTTGCAAAAAAATTGCAACCAAACTTATTATTAAACTCAAATCATAATAGAAATGTCAAAATATTATTAAAATAAAAAACTTCCAGAATTTCCCTGACTTTTCCCTGATTTTCAGACAAAAGTTTCAATTTTTCCCTGACTCTAAAGAATATTCTGATTCACTCTAAAAATTATAAGATACTCAAAAAAACTGTTCTATTACATTTAATTACGAATTTTTTTAATTGTAAAATTATTCCAAAACACAAATAAATTCTTTTTTACATAAATATTTAAAAATTATTATTCCATAGGAATTAAGCATTTCAAAAAATTTCAAATTCAAACCTTTATGATATTTGACAACTTATAAAAATTATTATTATAAAACATGAAGATATCGATAACTCCGAGTCAAAGACTCGGAGTTATTGTTATCTTCATGTTTTGTAATCATTTAAATTTACATAAAATTTTTCCAAATAAAATTAAATTATTTACAAAAATTACAATTTTAGATAAATTCCTCGAAAAATGTAATTATTTTCAAAAATTTTTTGCAAGAATTCAATTACATTTCACAAATAATGAAATTCATTCTCTGAAATTCAAATATTTTCAACATCAACTATTTTAATAAAATTTCTTTAAATGAATTCAATTATTTAAAAAAATCTAATAACATACTTTGCAAGAATTTAATTATTTTAATTTTAATATTTGTAACAATTTTTTTCAATAGAATTTTAATAAAACTGCACTAAAGAATTTAATTTATTTTTAATTTTTCGCAAGAATTCAATTATTTTCTAAAAAAATTAAATAAATTCTTCCAAATAATTCAATTATTTTTATAAATAATGAAATTGTTTACAAAAATTAAAATTAATTTTCAAAAAAATAACATTTTTCACAAGAATTCAATTATTTTCATAAATATTAGAATTCTTAACAAGAATTCAATTATTTTTATAAAAAAATAGAATTCTTTGCAAAAATTTAATTATTTTCAATACAATTTTTATTAAATTCGTCAAAAAATTTTATTCCTTTTCAAAAGTTTTTGTAAAATTCGTCGAAAGATTTTAATTATTTAAAAAATTTTTTGACATAATTCTTTATAAGAATTCAATTATTTTCATAAAGAATAAAATTCTTCATAAGAATTCAATTTTTATTTTCATAAAAACTACCATTCTTTCCAGAAATTTAATTATTTTCAATTTAATTTAAATTCAATTCCTCAAAAAAATGCAATTTTTTTAAAAATTGTTATAAAATTTGTAAAAAGTATTTAATTTTTCACAAGAATTTAATTATTTTCATAAAAAAATATAATGTTTTGAAGAAATTCAATTATTTTCATAAATAATAAAATTCTTCGCAAGTATTCAATTATTTTTATAAATAATAAAATTCTTCACGGGACTTCAATTATTTAAAAGAAAATTAATAAAATTTCTTTACAAGAATTCAATTATTTTCCTAAATAATAATATTCATCACAGGATTTCAATTATTTTTAATACAATTAAAAGTAATTTCTTTGAAAAATGTAATTATTTTCAAAAATATTAAAAATTTCAATTATTTTTGAAAATTGCTATAATTTATAATTGTATAATACATTTTAATATTCAATTATTATGTAAAATTTCACTTAAAATTCATTTTTAAATCAATTTCTATTAGAAAATTCTACGAGAATTCAATTATTTAAATACAAAAATAAATAATTTATTGAATGTTTGCTTCAAATTTTATCAATACTATTTTTAAATAATTGAAATCTTTTGAAAAGTTTTATTATAAAATCGTTGCTATTGAAAATGATTGAATTGAGGAAAATTTTTGAAAATAATTGAAATTTTGCCAAAAATTTTATTAAAATTTTTAAAAATAATTAAATTTTCTAGAAGAATTTTATTATTTTAAAAGATAATTGAAATCTCGAATATATACAAAAATTTATTCTAAATTGTCTGATCAAATCAAATCTTACTCTACTGATAAAGTGATAATGGAAATAAATGACGATACGTCTGACTAAATAGTCTATTACTACTGGAAGCGTAAATTTAAATTCTAGTTTAATAAATTGACTGACTAAATCTAATGTCTACTGCTGGATAAAAAATAAATAAAAAATATTTAATTTATTTATTTTACTTGCCTGACTAAATTTGGTTTGTTCTAGTGATACAAAATATTCTTTTTTGCTTTTTTGCTTACAGGATACGCATATCTGTGGTTAGAAGACAGAGAAACGGTGATGCAACAATTTTTAGACTATTCCCGTCAGCTGACTGTCGATGAGCTGGAAATAATAGCAACAAACGATCCAAAATTACCGGAAAAATGTGCACCAAAAATGGAGAATTTTCGTGAACAAATTGATCTTTACGAGGGACTTTATTTGGAAATTGAAGAAATGGAGCCATTCAAGGTCTTCTGTGGATGGTTTCGTGTTGATTTGAAACCATTTAAACAATCGTTGCTCAATACTGTTTGCAAATGGTCGAGTATGTTTAAGAAACATTTGGTTGAAAGAGTCACTACAAGTTTAGCAGATTTAGGAAATTTTATCAGGTATTTCATATTTTCAACTCTTTCCACCGTTTTTGCAAAATGGAAAAAAATCGATTTGTCTGACTAAAATTTTTTTTTTACTACTGACAATATAATTATAATTTTTATTATTTGTCTGACTAAACAATCTTTTACTACTTACAACATAATTATCAATTTTTCATAACTTGTCTGACTAAACAATCTTTTACTACTTACAACATAATTCTCAATTTTTCATAACTTGTCTGACTAAACAATCATTTACTACTGCAAACAAAAAAAGAATTTTCCACTTTATGTCTGACTAAAATTGTATAATACTACTGAACTCAAGTATATACAAAAATTTGTCACAAATTGTCTGACCAAATTAAGTCTTACGCTACTGATAAAGTGATAATGGAAATAAATAACGATACGTCTGACTAAAAAAACTTTTACTACTGACATTATAATTAGAATTTTTTATTATTTGTCTGACTAAACAATCTTTTACTACTTACAACATAAATAGAATTATTCACTGTTTGACTAACTAAACCTTTTTAGTATCGGGAGATGCACAAAATTTATTATTAATTGTCTGACGAAATCAAGTCTTACACTACTGATACAACAATAATTTAAATAAATAATTACTTGTCTGACTAAACAATCTTTTACTACTGACAATCTTATTAGAATTCATCACTTTCTGTCTGACTGAAAGTAGTTTATACTACTAGTAAAATTTATCAAATTCTTGTTCAATACATTGTTAGCCTGAATTTTTTTTTGAATAATAATTTTTACTTCTGACATCAAAAGTCTGACTATCAATGGTCTTTACTACTGATAATAATAAAATAACTTTGAACACCACAATTTGCCTGACTATTAATGGTTTCTACTACTGATGATAATAATACTATTTAATAATATTTCGTGAAATTACAACCAAATAAAATACAAATAAAATTTATAAATTTCTTCGTAATTTTGACTGTGAAATTTTTTTTACTACTCAGAGAAAAAATTTGCTAATCTACAACATATTGTCTGACAATGAATAGTTTCTATTATTGATAAAAGAACCATTAACTATTTCCCGTCACTTATTCTTTCTTTAACTATACTTAATAATATATTTAGAATTTCTTACAATTTTGTCTGACTAAAACTGGATTTTACTACTTATATCTGAGAAATTTTCTGTCTTCTTTTTATTAAATGGTTTATTAATTATTTTATTTATTATTATTATTATTATTATTATTATTATTATTATTATTATTATTATTATTATCTTTTTTTAAAATTATTTCAGTAATCTCTTTAATAAACTGTATTAATAATATTTAGAGAAAGTATTTCGAATATTAAAATAAAATTTAAAAAGAAGAAACTAAGGAAATAATTTCTTCTTTCAGATTGGCTGATGAGGGAATTTTGCAACAAATTCAACCGGGTGATTATATGGGTCTCGTTAGTGTAATGGGTTATTTAATGCAAGTGAAGGAACGTCAGCCAACCACCGACGAAATGTTCCAACCACTGCAGGAAACAGTGGAACTTTTAAAATTTTATGATCAAGATATTCCAGAGGAAGTTAATGTTCTCCTTCAAGAATTGCCTGATCAATGGGCTAACACCAAAAAATTGGCTCAAATGGTGAAACAACAAGTTGCTCCCCTTCAAGCCGGTATTATTTCTTCGATTAAAAAATTTTTTATCCCAATATTTATTTATTTAATTTTTATTTGTTCTAAAAACTAATTATTAATTTTTGTAAAAAAAAAATGCAGGCGAAGTGTCGAGAATTCGTGGTCGTATATCGGCATTCGATACAACAATTGGCCACTATCGGGAGGCATTTCGTCGTTATGGTTTCTTTAAATTCACCTGCGAAAATCCTTATGAGCAACTGGACGAGGCCGATAAGGAAATTTGCATGCTCGAACGTCAAATGAATGACATTCAAGAATCGGCATCACTTTTTGAAGTGACTGTTTCTGAATTTAAACATCTTAAGCAATGCCGACGAGAATTGAAAATGTTGAAGCAGCTATGGGATTACGTGAATATTGTAAGAAGCAGCATTGAGGGCTGGAAAACGACGCCTTGGAGGAAAATAGACGTGGAGAACATGGATATTGAGTGTAAAAAATTCGCCAAAGAAATTCGAGGTATATTTCATTCAAATTAAATTTTCAAATTAGTTAAATACAAAAAAAAGACTCTCGAAAATTTTAATTTAAAATTTACTTAGTTTAAATTAAAAATTTGCAAATTTACAATTTTAATTTAAAAATTTAGAAATTTAATTTAGAAATTGAGAAATTTAATTAAAAAATTTACAATTTTAATTAAAAAATTTACAACTTTAATTTAAAAATTTAGAAATTCAAATTAAAAATTTACAAATTTAATTTAAAAATTTACAAATTTAAATTAAAAATTAACAAATTTAATTTAAAAATTAACAAATTTGTCTTATTTATTTGGTAAACGAATTTTTCTTCAGTTTCTTTGGACAAGGAAATGAGACCTTGGGACACTTATATATCATTGGAGGCGACTGTAAAAAATATGCTAACATCATTAAGAGCCGTTGGTGAGTTACAAAATCCCGCCATCAGAGAAAGACACTGGAGACAATTGATGAACAGTACAAAGGTACCTATGTATTCAAAAAAATCATCATCACCGATACATTCAAAGGAAGTAGACAAAACATTTCCATTCAATTCACTATATACGTATTACATATATAGAAAATCATTTCATTCATACAAGTGATTATTGTCATTCAACATCATAATTTTTAACTAAACATTAGTCTGCTACTGATAAAACAATAGTAGAAATTTATCATTTTGTCTAACTAAAATTAGCTAAACCTATACTGAAAGTAAAATACAAAATTTATTAAAATTGTCTGACCATATCAAATCTTACACTACTGATATTGTCATAATTAGAAAAAATAACCATTTGTCTGACTAAATTCTCTTTTACTACTGAAAAATAATTAAATTTTTCATTTTTTGGCTGACTGGACCTAATTTATACTACTTAAATTTACTGACTGTAATTTTTTATTCAAATCAGTTCAATAAATATTAGAATTAATAATAATAATAATAATTCAATACATTGTCTGACTAAAGCTGATTTATACTACTGAAGCAAATAAACGAAAACTAATATAATAATAAGACTGTCATAAATTTGTCTGACTAAAAAATAATTTACTAATGATAACGTAATAATTACAATTTATCACATTTTGTCTGACCGAATTTGATTAATTCTACTGATCCCGAAGATATAAAAAAATTTATTAACATTGTGATTATATCTTACACTACTGATATTGTCGTAATTAGAAAAAATAACAATTTGTCTGACTAAATATAATCTTTTACTACTGAAAACGTAAATCATATTTTCCATTTTTTGTCTGACTGAACCTAATGTATACTACTACTAAAATTTACTGACTCTAATTTTCTATTCAAATCAATTCAATAAATATTATAATTAATGATAATAATAACAATTCAATACATTGTCTGACTAAATCAATTGTTTTCTACTATGACAATATAATTATTTTTTGACTAATACAATAATAAGAATAACAGAAAATGTGCCTGACTAAAAAATACTTTACTACTGATAACGCAATAATTTCAATTTTTCACATTTTTTCTGACTAAAATTGATTAATTCTACTGAAACTGTATATAGACAAAAATTTATTAGAAATTGTCTAATCGAATCAAATGTCACACTACTGGTACATTTATAATTGAAATAAATTACGACATGTCTGACTAAACAATCTTTTACTACTGAAATCAAAAATAGAATTTTTTATTTATGTCTGACTAAACCTTATTCATACTACTAGTAGATTTGAATTCTACCTCAATAAATTGTCTGAGTAACACTATTTTCTTCTGTTTATACAAAAAAAAAATTTTCTGATTTAAAGATCTTTTACTGCTTAAAATTTTAATAATAAAACAATACTACATTACGTCTGACCAAACTTGGTTTATACTACTGATAAAAAATAAACTACAGACAATACAGTAATAAGAATAACAGAAAATTTGTCTGGCTAAAAAATACTTTACTTCTGATAACAGAATAATTTCAATTTATCACATTTTTTCTGATTAAATTTGATTAATTCTACTGACCCCAAAGTTATGCAAAAATTTACTATATATTGTCTGACCGAATTCTTCTGATAATGCAAAAAAATTTTTTTTCCTTCGACTAGAAGATCTTTTACTACTTAACATTTGAATAACAAAACTTCGTTACATTACGTCTGACTAAAGCTTGTTTACACTACTGATAAAAAATAAATTACAACTAATACAGTAATAACAATTATTAAATTAAAAAATTTTTTTTTTAAATTAAAAAAATTTTATTAGTCAATTTGTCTGACTAAAAAATACTTTACTACTGAAACCATAATAATTTCAATTTATCACATTAAGTCTGACTAAAATTGCTTAACCACTTCACTGGCGGGGCGTTCCAAATGGCGTTCCACGCGCCGAGGCCCAGACTGGCAAAAACACCGAAATGGCGTTCCTAATAAAACTTTATTTTTAAAGAGTGTACACTACTTTTAACTTATACAAAGCAATATTTCTATAGTTTAGACATCAGGGAACAAGATTATCACAATGAAAATTTCAGTTTTTGGGATTTTCAATGTGTTTTCATACGTTGAAATAGTCCATTTTTACCACTTTTCACCAAATGGCGTTCCACTTTTTTTTAATTTTTACACAGTAAAACTCATATTTTTTATTTAAAAAATATATTTACATACAAAACATTATAATATAATAATGTAATAAGTAAAAAATAAATATAAATAATTAATAAATAAAATTTAATAATTATTAATAATAACAAAAGTGGAACGCCATTTGTTAAAAAGTGTTAAAAATCGACTATTTCAACGTTCGAAGAAACATTGAAAATCTCAAAAACTGAAATTCTCATTGTGATAATCTTGTTCCCTGATGTCTAAACTATAGAAATATTGCTTTGTAGTAGTAAAAAGTAGTGTACACTCTTTAAAAATAAAGTTTTATTAGGAACGCCATTTCGGTGTTTTTGCCAGTCTGGGTCTCGGCGCGTGGAACGCCATTTGGAACGCCCCGCCAGTGAAGTGGTTAATTCTACTCTGTCATTAAATATACACAATTTATTATAAATTGTCTGACCAAATCAAATCTTACACTACTGATACAATGAAAATTGAAATAGATTACGATACGTCTGACTAAACAATATTTTACTACTAAAAACAAAATTTTTTTATTTTTTGTCTGACTAAACCTAATTTATACTACTACTAGAATTTATTGAATTCTATTTCAATAAATTGTCAGACTGAATTCATTTTCTGCTGCTGATTCAAAATCGAAAACAAAATTTATTTTCGCCTGACTAAAAGATCTTTTACTACTGACAACATAAATAAATTTTTTTACTTTATTGTCTGACTGAATCCAATTTACTAGTAGTATAATATAATAATTTAGTAGTAGTCTACTAAAATTTACGAAACTCCAGTAATTAGATAATTAGAATAAATAACGATATGTCTGACTAAAAAGTCTTTTACTACTTAACGCTTTACTAACAAAACATTTACCACATGGTGTCTGACTAAAGCTGATTTATACCACTGATAAAAAATAATCTACTATAGCAATAATAAGAATAAAAATCGATTTGTCTGTCTGAAAGAATATTTTACTACTGACAATATTTACTAATAATATTACAATAATTTATAATTTATCACCGTTTGTCTGACTCTGATTAACATTTTTTACATGTTTTACACTAAAGTTACATGTTAATATTCTACATTAAAATAACATATTAATCCTCTTAACATTAAATTTACATGTTAATAATTTTATACATGAAATTTACCTGTTGATTGTTTTGCACAATATTTCGATGTTACAATTTTTTTTTTGCACAATCATTATAAAAATTGTTTATATCATTTTCAACAAAAGTGTCATTCATTGTCGTTATGTATGTGTGAAATGTGTGTTTGTTTCGTTTCAAAAAAAATTAATTTAAAAAAAATCCTAGAAAATAATCATCGTTGAGTGTTAAATTTTTTTTTCAATTATACAGAAAAGAGAAAATAGAAAAATTAACGAATTTATTAGAAAAGAGAAAAGGGAAAAATTAACGAATTTGTTGAGTATGTGGAATTTTTTTTTCAATTCTCCATGATAGTAAATACATAGTTTTTAGCTGCACTGCTGTAAATATTGCTATATCAATGTTCCAGAAATTGGGCAACATGACTCCAGAAATGACAGTAAGTCCACTGTACATAATTCGCACGATTTAAATATTTTCTTCAAATATTAGTTTTCTTAAATCATTTTTTCTCTCTCTTTATAAATTTATGTACTATTGTAACAAATATTTGCTAAATAAAAATCAGCGTTTCATGAAAAAAAAAAAATAAACATTGCATTATTTGTGGAATGATATTCATTCACCCTCTCATATTGCCTATTCACGCTTTATTTTATTTAAACTGCACCTTCAGCCCTTCCTTTTGTATTTTTATCGATTCACTGAGAAAAAAATTTTTTTAAATTTAAAAATATGTAGCTAACCAAAAAAATATGTTTGAATCTAATTTTATAATTCAATTAAATTTTTAATTAAAATTAAATTTTTATAATTCAATTTAATTAAATTTTTATTCAATCAAACTTATTATGTATTGGATCGAAATTATTATGTTACTATTATTAATATTCAAAAGTAACTTTGCTTGACTTTTTCTTCTACATTTTATATAAAGATAATTATTTTTGATTCAAATATATTGTTTTCTCAGTGCTAAAAAAAATGCAAACCAGAAAAATGTGTTTTACTTGAACCAAATAAAATTTAATATTTTATTTTGAAAGACAAATAAATATTTATTTGGTTTTAAGACAAAATAATTCCTCTGGTTATAAAATTATAAATCATATTCTTGTAAATACTATTTTATACAATTATTTTATTTTCCTGTAATCATACTATTTTTATTAATATCATTATTATTATTATAATTATTATTATTAATACTTATTTAGTATTATTTTATTATTAATTATTAATTCTTAGTATTATTATTAATTATTATTTTTAATTATTATTATTAGTAGTATTAATTACTTACATTGTTAGTAACTATTCTTAATATAATATTAATTATTATTAATAAAAACTTATTTTTAGTTAATATTTTATAACTATCTTTATTTTTTATATACTGTAATTTTTAATAGTTCTACTCTTTATATCTTCATATATTTATATTTTTGCATCTTTGTACTTTTAGGTCTTTTCGCATTTTTACTCTGTACTACAACTTTAGGATATTTTACCATTTACCTATATAAAAATATTTATCATCTATTTACATTAGTAGGTTTTTTCGAATATATTTCTAAATCACAAATTTTAACCACAATTACTATCTTAATTATTTTGGCAAGTTTTCAAATATAATTACACCTTTTATACCTGTAATAAATTAACAATTTTTAAATCAGTTTATTAAACTAAAAATATATACAATTATAGGATTTTATATACAGTTTATAATTCTAATTAATAATTATAGTTTAAAATTTTTCTATATTTTTGATATTTATTAATTTTTATATATTCGTTTTATTAAATATTCTGATATTTATTAATTCTTATAATATTCGTTTAATTAAATATTCTCTATAATTATTTAATTTAAATAATTATTAATTATTAGTCTCTCTATTTATTTAATTAAATACTTATTAGTTATTAGTCTCTCTATTTATTTGATTAAATACTTATATTAATCTCTATATAATTATTTTGTTTAACTCTAAATTTATTAATTTTTGTATTTATTTATTTAATTAATTAAGTGTTTATTAATTTATAAAATAATAAATAAATTAGGTTCAATTTGTAATGGACGAATCGACAACATTAGCGGATCTATTGGAACTGAATTTGCACGAGTGCGAAGAGGAGGTGAAAAATATCGTTGACAAGGCTGTCAAGGAGATGTCAATGGAAAAATATTTAAGGGAGTTGAAGGTGACTTGGTCGGGAATGGAATTCGAGAGGGAAATTCACGCTCGAACTGGAGCAACTTTACTGAGAGCCAGTGAGGAACTTATTGAAACTTTGGAGGAAAATCAAGTAAGTTTTTTCCAAATTTTTATTTTCAATTCATTAAAAAATATTTTTTATATTGCAAAAGTGAATTAAAATTTTTTTCTTTCTTTTCAATAAACGACAATATTTTTTAAATATAATTTAAAAAGATATATTTTAAAACTAGAACCTAAAAAAATTACAATTGTATTATTTTTTAATTTGTAATATAAATTTTCAATTTTTAAAAATAAAAATTTTTTTTATTCCTGAAAAAAAATTTTTAGGACCAATTTTTTCAAATTATATATTAAAATACAGTAAAGAAATTTTCTTTTAATATTAATTAAAGATTTATAAAGTAAATTTATAAAAGAAATTTAATTTACATAGTAATTAAATTTTTACTTTAGATCTGATTCGGTTTCTTTATCGAAATCAAATTTTTTATACTTGAACACTCAATTAATAATTAATTCCCAATACTCATTAAAATTAATTACCGAACAATTGAAAAAATGATTGAGTTTTATTAAAATTACATTACATAATTTTTCTTTTAATATTTTTTCTCTTCTTTTTTTTAAATTAAAAAAATTGTATAAATTAAATAAAATATTGTGAATATTTTATTATTATTCATTGGTACATTTTAATGGAGACTTGTACCGAAAATGCAGTTTATATTTATTTTTTGAAAGAAAATTTTTCTTTCTCTATACATTTACAGAAATAAAAAATTAAATAATTAAAATATAAACAAAAAAAGATTTAATAAAAAATAATAATAGTAAAATAAATACACAAAAAAATAAAACAAATAAATAGAAAAAAATTACAAAAATAAAAACATAATTTTATAAATAAAAACATTGTATTAAAAAAATTAAAATATATTTCTGCGTAGTTTTTTTTCCAATTACCAAATTACACGGTTTAAAGATTTCTGTCCAAAAATAATAATCACAGATCATTTTACAAGTTGAATTCCACGCATATGGAGAAAACAATTTCATTAAGATTATTGCGTATTACTAAAAAAAATTTTCCATTTACTAAATTAGAAGAAAAATTCAACACTAAAAATCAATTTAATGATTCCTTACATGCCACTGATGTTGACACAAAAAAAGGCAAATAACAAAAATCATAATAGAAAAACTGATAATTAAAAGCGTTACAAGTTTTCAGTTCGACTGATAAATCGTTTCAATTAAATTTTAATTTTATACCAGTAGTTAAAAAATTAACGCATATAATAATTTAATGGCTTTTAAATCGTAAAATTATTATCGTCACCGATTTAGAAAAAAAAATTTTATGAATCAATTAAAAAAAAATTATGAGAATTGAAACATAAATTTTTATTCTCTTTTTCCGTTTTTTTATTTCTCTTTTTTTTCTTTAGCTAAATAATATTATTTGACACTTTCAAAAAAAAATTTCAAAATTCGAAAAAAAATCCATTAACTGCCCAGTAATAATGTTCAAAATTTTTTTTCTAAACTTTATTTTTAATTGTGTGAATTTTTTTTCAATAAAGGAAGAAAATTATTTTTTGTTTCAAAGAGAGAGAGAGAAGACCTTGAAGAATAAAAAACACATTTAATTTTCTGCATATGTAATAGTTGGGAATTTACAATATTGCGTAAAAGTATTAAGTATATAAATAGAAGATAACAATTTTCTTAAACTCTCGTTAAATTTAGATAACGAGAGTTATTGTCTCTATAAAATTATATAAATTACAGTTTAGATTATAGTGTAAATTACAAAGATAAGGTTTTTTTAAAAATTAATTTCTGAAAAATTGCAGAAAAAATATTATTGACAATGAGTTATTTCTTCTTTTCATTAAATAAATATTTTTCTTTATAAAAACAATTAGGTATTTATAATAATATGAAAATTAATTCAAAAGGAAAATTAAATAGAAGTAGAAATTAATTTTCTTTTCAATTTTTATAAACTAAAAACTCAATTATAACAAAAACAAAATTTGCTTTCTGCATTTTATTGCAGCTTTATTTTTATCTCTTAATTCGATAAATAACGTTTCAAAAAAATTTTTTTTATTTATTTTTTAATCAAACTTAATTAACGAAACAAAATAAAATTAATTGATTAGTAAACAACATATTAAAAAAGTTTACTTTTTTATTTTATTCATTAGTCAATTAAAATTGATTAAAGAAACTTAATAAAAATTAATTGATTAGTAAAAAAAAAATCGATAAAAATAAATAAATCAATTACAATATAAAAATTAATTTTAAACAAGTAAATATAATTAAAAATATGTTTTTAATAGAATTATTATTTTTTATTTATAAATATGAAATAAAAAATCTATTATATTATTTTGGTTTTGGTGTTCTTTGCAAAATTTAGTTGTAAAAATAAAATGTATTTTATCTTTTTTAAGACTAATATATAAAGAAGAGTATTTAAACGGTAAACATCAGAGATAACACTAACTATAGATTGAAGATTCATATACATTCAGTTGTAATAATTGTTTGTTGAGATATATAGTGTGAAAACAGCACCTGTTTTCAATGAAACAATGACTAATATAAAAAATCATTCAATTTTCCTCATTTTTTTACTGAGTTTGAGGAAAGTAAAAGTTCCACGATAACAATTATTCTTTTATCATAAAAAAAAAAACTGTCTTTATTTTTGTTTCGAAATATTTCACCTTCTTAATTCCATAAATAACGATTCAAAAGTTTACTCTTTCTTTGTTTTATTCATGATGCAATAAAAATCAATTAATGAAACTAAATTGAAATTGAATTGATTGATTATTAGTAAAAAATAAATCAATAAAAAAATAAATCGATGAAAATAAATAAATCGATAAAAAGTATAAATCGATAGAAATAAATAAATCGTTAAAAAATATAAATCGATAGAAATAAATAAATCGATAAAAAGTAAATAAATGAATAAATAAATTAGTAAGAAAATAAAAAAATTAATTAAGAATAGATAAATTAATCGATTAATAAATTAAGTAACTAATGAAAATAAATAAATCAATAAAAAATTAATAATTTAATTAATAGTTAATAGTTATCAGCTGTAAATTATTTATTGTGGCTTTTTTAATTTGCGGTTTATTCGAAATTATGTTTTACATTCGGATATTAAAACACATTGGCGAGTGACATCATGTATGACACGTCCTCTCTCGCAAACACAGCCGACCGTACAGACCTTCAAAAAATTAATTAAAATAAGAGACAGAAAAATGATAAAATAAAAAAAAATCATCATTTCCCTGGTCTATTATTATTTATCAATTAATTAATCTTTAATTAATGCAATAACTTACCGCTGGACAAATGTTTCTAATGTCATTATAATTACTACAAGTTGTTAGACAGGGTGATGCACATTCAGACCAAAATGCATTGGGGCCACACTCACCTCTCATCATTGGCGGCCCCAACATTATATCTGTTAATTAATTTTATGAAATTTTATGAAAAAATATTATTTTTGAGAAAAATATTTTAGGTATTTAAAAATATATATTTGGTGTGTTTTTAATTTAATAATAATTTAATATCTAACGAATATAATATCAGAAATAAAATACAAAAATAAAACTCTACAAATTAATAATAATTTAGTAGAAAAATAAAAATATTAAAATATAAAGAATATAATATAAAAAAATGTAAATATTAAAATATAATTTTAATACAGTAAAATAATAATTTAATATTACGAGTACTTACTTCTTGAAGCTACAACTGCGACAAGCATTAGAAAAACAAAAGTCGAAGACATTTTGCTGTAATTACTTTGAGTTTGAAAAATATTCTGCTTTGATGTAAACATCAATGCGGTTTTATATACTATTGTCGGAGTTATTCTTGTTCTCAAATGTTACAGGAATCCCCGCGCATTAAAATTCTCAATACACAATGACAAATGTGTCATTCATTATGAATCTCAATTTTTTTTTTCATTTAATTTGCAAAAATTAGAAAGAGAGATTTTTTTTTCGGTAATAAAAAAAGGAAGATTTACATAAACAACAAATAATATATTTTTTTTAATGAAGTAAAAAGAAATAAAGAGAAAAAAACAAAAAAGCAAAAAAGAAAATAAAAAACCAGAAGAGCAGAAAAAAATAAAAGAAAAAAAGTAAGAAAGCAAAGAAAATAAATGAAAGCAAAAAAATTAGAAGAAAAATAAAAAAAGCAAAGAAAAAGAAAAAAGAAGCAAAAAAAACAAAAGAAAGCAAAAAAATAAAAAACAAAATCGAAAAAAGTCAAAGAATAGAAAAAGCAAAGAAAGCATAAAAAACAAAATTTCTTTTTCATTTAATTTTGCACAATATAGAAACTAATTTTTGCTTTCGTTAATAAAAAGGGATGATTTATATATAATCAAACAAATAAAAATTTTTTTAAAACGAAATACAAAAAAAAATGCAAAAAAAAGTAAAAGAAAAAAATTTTTGAAACAGAAGAAAACAAAGATAGCAAAAGAAAAAAATTAAAAAAGCAGATGGAAACTAAAGATATCAAAAGAATAAAAACCAAAAAAAGAAAAGTAAGTAAAAGAAGTTAAAAAACGAAAAATACAACAGAAAGTAACAGAAAACCAAAAAAGCACAGAAAGCATAAAAATAAAAAAAAATTTTTAATTATATTATAACAAAATAATGTAATTTTTAATTTTGTTAATAAAAAATAAAAGATTTACATAAACAACAAACGACATTTTTTTTTAGCTAAGAAAGAGAAAAAAATGATAAAAAACACGAGAGGGATAGAAAGAAAAAAAAGGAAAGCTAAAGAAAGCAAAAAAAAAATTAAAAAGCAAAAGAAAAAAATAAATAAAGAATGAAAAAAAGCAAAGGAAGCAAATGAAGATAAAAAACTAAAAATGCAAAAGAAAGCAACAAAAAGCAAAAAAGCAAAAGAAAGAATAAAAAATAAAAATTGTTTTTCATTTAATTTGCACAATTATTAGAGAATAATTTTTGATTTCGTTAATAAAAAAAAAAGAAAACAAAATTTCTTTTTATTTTCTTTCGCTTCTTCTTTTTTTTTCTTTATTAAGGAAGATTTACATAAACAACAAATGAAAATTTTTTTAACGAAAGGAAAAGAAAGAATGCTAAAAAAACAAAAAAGGAATAGAAAACAAAAAAATTAAAAAATCAAAAGAAAGCAAAAAAATCAGAAAAGGAAAAAAGAAACCAAAATAAAGCAAAAAAAACAGAAGAAGCGAAAGAAAATAAAAAATTCAAGGAGCAAAAGAAAGGAAAAAAATTTTTACAAAGCAAAAGAAAAAAAAGATAAAGAAGCAAAAGCAATTTAAGGAGAGAAAAGAAAAAAGAAGTAAAATCTAAAAGAGAAAAAATTAAAAGAACTATTAAATTAATTATAATTCGAATTTACTTTTATTGATTCATTTGAAACATTTAAATAAACATTGAAAATTTTCAATAATATTTTTTCCAGAGAATATATATATTTCCACTTTATGTAATTCTAAGGAGTAATTGTTCTATTACAGTCCCTAGGTAATACGCAAAGATTTGTTACACTTTGTCTATAGTATCCTGGTTTACAAAAACATCCTCGAAGACAATCCTCCTGAAGAAGAAAAAAAGAAATGTTATTTTATAAACATTTAAAATTCACTAATTTGCTAATTCAATCTAATTATAATTTTACCCCAGAACAAAAATGACGAGGATGTTCATTTAGCATAGAGCATGAGATAGGGCATCTATTCGAACATGTATAATATTTGGCATTTGGTCCACAATCTCTTGGAGATTCTGTTGTTGTTTGCCCATCTAAAATTTTTATTGACAAGGTTTATTTTCATTCATTTTTTATTTAGTATTTTCCTTATTTTATTTATTTTTTTGTTTATTATCTATTTATCGCTGTATTATAGTTATATATTTATTATATCGACATTTGTAAAGTTTATGGTGCGAAAAAGAGTCATTTTACTCCCTAGGGTTTTTTTTTCAAAATTGTCAGTATATTTTATTTTCTATTCGTTTATAATTAAAATAAGTCATTTTATTCGAATTTTATTTCACTTTTCTTTCTATTTTTATTCTCATTTTCAGATACGAAAAATTTAATAATAGAGTAAGAAATTTAATCGTTTAGGAAAAATGTAACAAATCAAGATATATACTTACTAATAACTGATAAAATGACGAATGTTAACGAAATAATTGTTACGAAAGACATTCTAAAGCTTCTGAAGTTTTGAATTCAACTAAAATTTATTTTTCAATAAAGTCTCTTTTTATACACAAAAATAGAATTCATCCAAGTTGTTTTTAGAATAAATTTTACAACTTCCTGTAAATATATGTATTTACTCGTGCTTATCGCTTATTTTGCAAACGATCTTTTTCAGTGCTCGAAAACAAAAAAAAAAAAAAGGAAAAAAGAGGAAAAGAGAAAAAAATTTGACAAAAAATCGTAAATATAAATAAATATAATAAATTGGTTATAAATTTTGAAAGAGAATTTATTTAAGTTAAAAATATGCCAATACAAGAGTAAATATAATTATATTTTTCTTCAGTCTCATTATTAACATTGTTCAGGTAAAATACATTCTACACTCTCCTTTGTTCTCTTAACAAAGCCTTCTTGACATACGCAGCCTCTGTAGCATTGCTGAAAAAATGGAGAAAAAAATTGTTAATAAATTGAATTTTTCGCTAAAATTTATATTGCTAATAATAATTGAACAAATCCGAAAAATATTTCTAATTTTTAGTACTTTTATTTTTATTTAGTTATTCACTGAAAAATAAACAAAATAATAAATTAATAAACCAAATAATAAATAAGGAAACAAAATTATAAACAAATAAAGAATGTAGTAAATAATAAAAATTATTTCATAATGTAAAATATTTAAGAAAATTTATTCTGGTCTATTAAAAAATGAATAAATAAACAGAATAATAAAAAAATAAAATAAAAAATAAAATAATAAATAAATAAAATACTAAATAAAGAAAATACTAAATATTAAAATTTAGAAAATTATATTATCGAATTTATAGTTATAATTATAAAATTATAAACAAATAAAATGAAATATTTAAATTAAATTTCATAATTTTTAAAAATATTACAGAATTATTTTGAAATAACAATTTTTCTTAACTACGAAGAAAATTGGAACATAAAAAAATTTTTTCAATACTTAAAATACTTAAAATCGAGTTGGAGAATTTTTATAAACAAAAAGTTTTTACTCACTTTAGTACAAAATACAGGCTGTGGATTTTTTATAGTTTCACAAGTTTCTGGACAAACAGTGGCACATTTAACCCAAACTGCGTTTGGTCCACAATCTCGAATTGGTTCAACTGGTCTCCTTGTAGTACCTAAAGAGTAAAAAAAAAATTTCCTTCTAATAAATCGAAAAACTCATTAATGCCAAAATAATTTATTTTTTACATTCTACAAAATTTTTAATATATATGAAAAAATATTCTCGTTTCCATTTTAACAGAACAATTTTTAATTCCACTTATAATGCAAAACAATATATGAAAAAAATAGTCAAAAGTATTCAAAAAATTATTTTTAATTATTATCATTATTATTAAAATTATTATTAATATTATTATTCTAAATAATATATTATTTATAATAATTTTTCAAATATTTATCAACAAATTTCAATTACTTTTAAAATAAATAATAATTAATTATAAAAAATATAGAAAGGGAAATATTTTAATTTCAAAAATTTGATAGAGTTAACTGAAAACTATTTAAAAATTAAAATAATTATAAATAATACAATAAATAAATAATTATAAAAATTATAAATTATAATTAAGAAACTATATAATATAATATATAATAATCTAATAATATAATTAATAGACAAATAAACTTACGCGCTGAAACAGCGACTACAATTAACAAAAGAATAATAATTCGAGACATTTTTAAAGAGAACACTTCTTTCGAATTTCAGAAAGCAACTGAATAAAAATTTCTAAAGCAATTAACTTTTATAGTTTTCATTCTTCCTGTATGTTTGTTTTTTCAAAAATAAAAGTACATACAGTGAATCCCAATAAATCGAACAGGAAATGTTTTCGCTGTGAATCCCGCGTATCAGTTTATTATAGTAAGAAAAAAGTCTGCGATTACAAGCTGCTGATGAATATTTATTTATTCATAAGTATTGATCTTTAAAAGAGAATTAAACAAAAATAACAAATAATAAAAATGTATGTTAATTTTTTTCTAATAATAGTAGGAGGAAAAAAAATGAGAGAAGCTTATAATTTTGCGTATTCTTTTGAGAATTTTATTGTTCACTATGTACAATATTGAGTAGGGCAATAATTTTATTTTTGAAATTATTTACCAGTATTTAAATGGGGACAGTCGGATTCCAACATACAATCTGGATTTGTTCCCGATATTCTTATATAACCTGGATAACATCTACAGCCATATACACAGTCCTGTTAAGAAAAAGTTTTTTTTAAATTTAGCCAAAAATTGTGAATAAAAAAAGATCAACTTTTTGAGGAAAAAAGAGGGAAAAATTTTTTTTTTTAGTAACAACGAAAAGTGTGAATAAAAAAATACCAACTTTTGGGGAAAAAGAGGAAAAAAGTTTTTAGTTAAAAGTTTTGAAATAAAAAATGTGAATAAAAAATACCAACTTTTTGGGGAAAAAGAGGAAAAAAGTTTTTAGTTAAAAGTTTTGAAATAAAAAATGTGAATAAAAAATACCAACTTTTTGGGGAAAAAGAGGAAAAAAGTTTTTAGTTAAAAGTTGAAATAAAAAATGTGAATAAAAAAGTTTTTCATTTTTTTATTTTCTTATTCATATTTTTTTTTCTTATTATGTATTTCCTTTATTTTCTTATTTATTTCTCTCCAATTTTCCTATTAAACTATTTCTATCCTTGTTTATTCTAAAATTAATTTATATGCAAAAAATAAACAGAAAAATATTTATTTGGAACAAATAAAACTTTCATTGAAATAGTAAAATATTTCTGTCAAATAGAAAAAGTAGAAAAACTTTTATTTTTTAATAAATTTTTTTTTTTTGTTATTTTAACTTACCGCAGCGCACATCATGGGATTGGGATTTTTTAATCCTTCACAACTTGCTGGACAACGTGAAGCACAATTGCTATACGATGCAAATCGTCCACAACGTTGTGGAGGTCGTGGTTGAGCATTTACTGTACCTAGGCGAAAAAATTGTGTAAACATTTTTTTTCTATGAAAAAATATTCAGTGAACTTAAATTTAAATAAGTGAATTAAATTTAAAAAAAAAATTAAGTGATACTAAAGATTTAATATACAAGAGTAATAAATTATTTGTTAAGTTAAAAAAGTTAAAAAACAAAGTTTATAAAAGTTTTTTTTTGAAATTTTTTAAAAACATAATATAAATAAAAAAAATATTATAATAACGAATAGTTAATGAAAGACTTGACCGAAAATTTGTAAACAAGAATTTAAAAATGACATTTAGCATTAGAATTAATTATATAGGTAGTGTAAATAGATAATAGAATTTAAAGAGATAAGAAATATTAAGATTGCAATAAATAAAAAAAAATTTTTTTTTAAAATAGTTAACAATTATTTTAAATTTTAAAAAAAATGTTCAACGCACTGGAAGTTAATAGATAAAAAGTTAAATGAATAATTTTATAATCTGAAAATTAAATAAAAATTTAAATTGAGTTTTATAATTGGGAAATTAAGTAAATTATTAAATAGTTAATTAAACAATTTTAGAATTGGAAAATTAAATAAATAATTAAATAAAGGATTTTATCAGAACGGGAAAATAAAAAAAAAATAGTTGTGAATAATTTTACAATTGAAAAATGAAGTAATGAAATAATTAAAGAATTAAATAAATAAACATTTGAAAAATTCAATAAACAGTTAAAAAACAGATAAATAATTGGTAAACAAGTAAATAATACTCACTTGCAGATACAACTAACACAATAAAAAAAGTAATAGTGATTGGAGACATTTTTATTGAATGATGCGCTTAAAAATTTTCAAAAGCAACTGACAAATTCTCGATGAGGAATCGATTTTTATGTACTGCTTACTGTTTGCTTTTTTTATTACAAAATAGCATTAACAATTATGCTGATAACAAGGAAGAAAGAAACAAGGAGGAAAAAGTACTGATAACTTATTTCTACTTAGTTGATTTTTAGTAGACTTATTTATTCAACGTTGATCATAAAAAAAGTTTTCTATACATAAATGAATTAAACATTAAAAATTTATTTGAAAAAAATGACAAGAAATAAAATTTTACAAGTTCAATGCAACGACTTAAAAAATTTATTCAGTAAGTTTTAGTAGTTTACATTCTTTTTATTCATTATATAATTTTTATAATACAGTATAATTTTCAGTTTATTTTAATTTTTAGTTTATTATAATTTTCAGTTTATTAAAATTACGCATTTATAAGAATTAAAATTTAATAAAAATATAATTTTTTAAAAATCTATTGTCTAATTGGTGGACAATCTTTTATTCGTACACATGTGTCATCTGATCGAGATCGTTGAATGTAGCCTGCACCACAAAAACAGCCAACTCTGCAGACCTGTTTAAAGATAGAAAAATTTTGATTAATACAATATTTTATTGCTTTTATTTTTTTAAAATTATTTTATTGTTTATAAAATACAAATAATAATTTTTACATTACTAAAAATTTGTTTTACTCGAATGGTTAAGGAAACATATCTATAAAATGTTGTACTAAAAGAGCATTTGTTATAATAATATTATAATATAAAAATATTATATAAAAATATTATTAATATAAAATATTTTTTTAATTATTTATTTTTCCTAAATTATTATAATTTTTAATAATATACTATATTAAATACTATAATACATTAAATATTATAATATTTATTTCATTTTTAATTTTTAATAATAAATACCTACAATATAATAAGTATAACAATAATTAAAACAAAAAAAAATTTAAATAGAAAAAATTTGTCAACTTACTGCAGGGCATATCCTAGGCGGTGGACTATTTCGATTTTCACAAGTTCTTGGTGGACAACCAGAACCACAATCAACCCAAACTTGATTTTCTCCACAAAGTTGTGCATTTATTGTAACTATTTTTGAAAAAAAAAATTGTCAAGATCATTTTTTATAATTGAGAACAAAAGACAAGTAAGAAAATTCATTAAGAATACGAACATAAAAAATATCTAAAATTAATTTCTTTTAGTTATAACAAAAAATTTTCAAGTGTTCCAATAGAAACAAAAAAAAAATTCATTTTTTTAAAAAAATAATTTAAAATATTTTACAAAATTGAATAGAATAATTTTTTATTAAAAGTAAACATATAACTTACTTGCAGATGCAACCAATACAACAAATAAAATAACAAATGAATGTGACATTTTATTGTTTATTATATTTTCTCTTTTTCTCAAGACAAGAAAATTTCGTCCTTATGATTCGAAGTTTCAAACACGACTGAGTATTTTCAATTTTAAATCGATTTTTATATATATCATCGTGTTTGCATTTTTTTCACTGTAAAATAGCTTTAACGGTTGAATTATTATGATAAGAAAGAAATTTAATGAACAAGGAAAATGTCTTCTGATATTTCATTTTTAATATTTTGTTGATTCGGCAATGAATTAATTGAAATTAGAGAATTTAGTGAAATTAAATTGTTTAAATTAAAGAAAATGGAATAATTATTTCTATCTGAAATAATAGTATTGATAATACAAAATAGGGAAAGTCCCGTTTATATTGAAAACTTTTAAATATAGTAGAAGAAATTATAATAATTATGATAAAAAATAATAATTGTTCATTATATAATTTAAACAATTTTTTTCAAATGGTAAAAATATTTTTTTCTTGTTTTTTCTTTATTATTATAATTATTATAATAGAAAATTTACATATTTGATAATAATTAATTATATTTATACAATATAATTCGTTTTTAAGTAAATATATAAAAAATAATTATTTTTTATATTTAAATATTTGTTACTCAGTGTAAATTTTGACATTTCTAAATTTGTGAATCCCCGAGTAATAAATAACTTACCTGCAAATACAACCAACACAATAAAAAATGTAGTAACAAAAGATGACATTTTTAATTGTAATTCTAAGAAAATTTCAAATGCAGCGAACAATATTCTTGAATTTTCTTCATTCTTGATAAAGATTTTACTGTTTTCTTTTGTTGCACAATAGTATTTTCATTTAATCGATAATAGAGGGAAAATACAAAAGGAAAAATTTTCTAAAATAACTTCTTTGACATTTATCATAAATATTGACTCATTTCGATTAATTTATTAATTTTATATTAAAAAAAAAAATTGTTGAAATTTTCTTTATTTCTTTTCAAATAATCGAAAATATTTTCTTTTAATTTTTTATCGTCACATACAATAATAATGATAACAACGATAATAATAATATTAAAAACCGTTTTAAAGTTAATGCTGAAAGTGAAAATTTTCGCTAAAACAACGATTTATAATAAACAACAAAATACAATAAATAATTTCCAATAACAGTAAATTAAATAGTAAATACTAAATATTAATTAAGTAGTGAATTAAATATAAAATACTAAATAGTAATTAAACAGTAAATAATTTAAATAGTAAATACTAAATATTAATTAAATAGTAAATTAAATAGAAAATACTAAATAGTAATTAAATAGTAAATAAATAAAATTAAATTAAAAAAATTCAGAAATATTTACAAATCCACTGCGATTTTAAAGGAAAATATGAAATTAGAACTAGAAGTAAATTTTGCATAAATCTTTTATTAGATTTAATATTGTACAGAAATTACTCAAATTCAATATCTAATTGTTGAAAAAATTAAACAAAAAATTTTTAATTTCTCGTTAAATCTTTTAATAATTATTATTGAAATTATTGTCAACAATTTCGTATTGGTACACAAGTTGAATCAGTTGAGGATCTCCTAACAGAACCCGATGGACACACACAAGCTGGTACACATTGCTGTTTTGAGGGGAGAAAAAAATATAATTAATTAAAAAATTTTAAATTTCATTTTCACACATAAAAAAATTAAAAGAAGAAATTAATGAAAATAAAAAATTTTATTCGAACGAAACAAGAAAAAATAATAATTTAACATACCGCTGTGCAAAGTGGTCTTCTCTGACATGTTCTCTGACAATTTAAAGGTCTACCACATTCAGACCCAACTTCATCTGGTGCACAACGACCACCAGCTTCAACATTTATTGCGGCTAGAGAACAAGAATTTTTAAAAATTAAATTCAAAAAACGATTTTTAATATTTATTTTAACATCATGACATTTATCATTTGAAAAAAATTTTTTTTAATAACTTGAAAATTTTTAGATGAAAATAAAATTTTTAAGAAATGATAATTTTGGGATTAAGAATACGAATAATAATACAGAAGAGACTGTATTTAAATTTTAAATAAATATAAAATAAAATAAATAATTTGAAAACTGTACAAATTTAAACTGCATAAAGTCAAACTGCATACGAAAAAAATGCTCACGATAATAATTACAAATTTGAATTGAAAAATGAAATTAATTAAAATTCTATTCAAGAAAATTTTAATAATAAATCTATCGAATTTAATTTGAAAACTACATAAATTTAAACTGCACTCGATTGAAAATTTCGAAATTCAATAAATAATTAAGTTAAACTGCACACATGCTAAATGCATAAAATCAAATTTTAATAATTCAATTAAATATTAAATTTAATTTGAAAACACTGTAGGTACAAATTTAAACTGCAAATAAAGTCAAACTGCATACGAGTAAACTGCTCACGATTGAAAATTACATATTAATAATAGTTATTAATTAAATTATCGCAATCATATTTAATAAAATATATTATTCGTCTATATTGCTCTAAATTAATTATCGAAAATAATTTATTCTTTATGAATAATTATTTCTGAACTCTGTGGAAATTTTCCAATTACTTCATTTGTAAATTCCCGAGTAATAAATAACTCACCTGCAAATACAACCAAAACAATAAAAAAGGTAGTAACAAAAGGTGACATTTTTTTATCGTCAGTAATTCTCAGAAAATTTCAAATGCAACTAACAATTCTTGAATTTTCTTCATTATTTATACAGTTTTTACTGTTTACTTTTCGATTGTATAATACTATTTTCATTTAGTCGAATAGAGGGAAAATAAATAAGGAAAAATTTTCAAAAATAACTTATTGCTGTTCATCATAAATATTTAATCCTTTTTTATTTATTTTATTAATTTTGCATTAACAAAGAATACAAGCAATGCAAGCAAAAAGAAATTTATTATAAGTAATGAAATACAATAAAAAATAATAGTAAATAAATTAAATAGTAAAACTAAATAGTAATTAATTAGTAATTAAATAGTAATTAAATAGTAATTAATAGTAATTAAATAGTAATTAAATAGTAATTAATAGTAATTAAATAGTAATTAATAGTAATTAAATAGTAATTAAATAGTAATTAAATTGTAAATAAATTAAATTAATTAAAAAAATTCATAAATATTTACAAATTCATTGTAAATGAATTTTTGAGGGAAGGAAAATTATGAAATTCAAATTAGAAATAAATTTTGTATAAATTTTTTATTACATTTGATATTTTACAAAAATTACTCAAAATCAATAATTGTTGAAAAATATTATACGAAAAATTTTTAATTTCTCGTCAACTGTTTTAATAATTATTATTGAAATTATTGTGGACAATTTTGTATTAATACACATGTTCTATTAAAATCGGAACTTCTAACAGTACCCGATCGGCACATACAAGCTGGTTCACATTCCTGTTTTGAGGGGAGAAAAAAATATAATTAATTAAAAACTTCATTTTTACATATGGAAAAATTAAAGAAGGAAATAAAATCGAAAAATTCTATTAGAACGAAACAAGAAAAAAAATAATAATTTAACATACCGTCGAGCAAACTTGTCTTCTATAACATGTTCTTTGACAACTTAATTGTCTACCACATTCAGACCAAACTTCATCTGGTGAGCAACGTCCACCAGCTTCAACATCTATTGTGACTAGAGAACAAGGATTTTTTTTAAATTATAATATTTTCTATAATATTAAATATATTTATATATTTATATTAAATATATTTTTTATAATATATAATATTTTTTTTAAATTATAATATAATCAAATTTAATTTGAAAACAATTGCAAATAAAGTCAAACTGCATTCGATTGAAAATTACATATTAACAATAGTTATTAATTAATTTATTAATCATTATTAATAAAATACATTATTCGTCTATATTGCTCTAAATTAATTATCGAAAATAATTTATTCTTTATAAATAATTATTTCTGAACCCTGTGAAAATTTTCCAATTTCTTCATTTGTGAATCCCTGAGTAAAAAATATAACTCACCAGCAAATACCACCAACACAATAAAAAAGGTAGTAACAAAACGTGACATTTTGTTATCGTAATTATTTTTATGAAAGTTTCAAATGCAAACTAACAATTCTTGAATTTTCTTCATTCTTTATATAGTTTTTACTGCTTCTTTTTTGGGTGGAAAATACTATTTTCATTTAGTCGAATAAAGGGAAAATAAATAAGGAAAAATTTTCAATCGAGAAAATTATCTTTTAATTTTTCCACGTCACATATGATAATAGGGGAATGTAGTCAAGGTTGGCCTACTGTCTAGGTAGGCCACTCGCGTTTTTTTGTCAAGTTCACTAGCGCCACCTACGCGCATTTTTGTCGAAGCTTGTCTTAGTGAAACCTAACTTTTTGTTCAATTACATTTTCGGAAAATCGAAAATTGTGTTTTCTGTGACGTCGGTACAAAAAAAGCTCAAAAAAAGTTTTGTGCATAATGTGAAAAACCATTAATAAAAGATAAAAAACAAATTGAATCGTCAAGGCAAGTATGCAGAAAATTTGTGGGACTCATGGTTGAAAGGAAAACAAAGTAAAAAATCGAATCCCGAAACGTATTTCTTTTTGTTTACAACAATTCGGTAATGTTACTTACTGTCAAGGTCGGCCACTATGTGTTTAAAATGCGCAAAGTTGAGGACGAGCTACTTCATTTGCAAAAACTGCAATTCTGTATAACTCATAATATAATTGATCATCTTATTAATATTTTTATTTAATTTTATTAATATTTTAGTGCAAAACTTTTTTTTATTTATATTTATTTTTTTATATTGTTTATTGTTATTATTTTGTTATTTCATTAAGTTACAAACTGTAAACAATAAAGAATCAATTTTCCGTAACTCCAAACATGTTATTTTATTTTTTAACGATTAATGCCCTTTGAATTTTAAACATGGCCGACCTTGACTGTAATGGCCAACCTGGACTACAAATTTTTTTTTTTTTAAATCTTTATAACTTTTTCATTTTTAAACCTGTCAATTTACTTTGTACAGAAAAAATGTTCCTATTAAACAGGACTTTCCAACCATATACTTCAATTGTCCAAATTCATTTTTAAAAAAAAGTTATAAACAAAAGTCAAAAAGGTGGCCGACCTAGACTATGTTCCCCTAATGATAGTGACAACAATTATATTTTACAGACATTCCACTTGTGAATACAAAAAAATAATAATAATATTTAACAGTAATAAAAAAAATAATAATAAATTAATAAATTTTTAATAAATTAAGTGTTATATTTAAAATTTAATAAAATAAATACTAAGAATAAAAATAATTACAAATAATAATAATAATAATAAAAATAATAATAAAATAGTATGATTGATAGTTATAAGAAAAAACAGAATTTGTTTGTAAAAATTGAGCCAATTTTTTTATGTGAAAAAAAATTAAACTGAAAAAAAAATTAAAAAAATTAAAAAATTAAAAATTATTTCACTTTATTTGCCAATTGTCAATAACTGAATGTCTGGTTGCGAAATTAAGGAAAATTGATTATTAAAAATATGTTAACCCTGAAAAAAAATATAAAATTAAAAACACTTGAGTAAAAATTTTTTTTTTTATTAATTTATTGCAGTTTTTTACAATACTTTTTTTAACATTCTTCCTCTTTTACACACTGTCGAACTCTTCGTGATAATCTAACGTAACCAGGAGCGCATTTACAACGTGTTATACAACTCTGAAGAGAGAAAAAAAAACATTTTTATCCCTTACAATAAAATTAGAAATTTCATATAAATATTTTTTAATATTTATTTATTTCAAATATTTATGAAATAAATATTAAAAAAAAAAATAAATATTAAAAAATATTTATATGAAATTTCTAATTTTATTTTACCCTTACAATAAAATTAGAAATTTCATATAAATGTTTTTTAATATTTATTTAAAAACAAATTAATTTAAAAAAATTTTAAAATTTTAAAAAGAAACGTGTGTTTATTTTTTTCTTTAAATTAACTTACACCGGTGCATCTAACGAGATCTGGATTTCTTATATTTTCGCATGTTCTTTGACAAGGATCACATGGACCCCATACTTCATTTGGTCCACAAATTTGGGCATTCATTGGAGCTGTGTCAAAAATATAAATAGTTTTTAATAAAATAATTTTTTATCTTAAATATGGAGAGAAATTTTAAAAACAATTTTTTAATCAAATAAAAATTATGGAGAAATTGTAAAAAAAAAATTTATCAAATAAACATTAATGGAGAAATTAGAAAAATTTTTATATCAATTAAAAAGTTGTGGAGGAATTAAAAAAATTTTCTTGTTTACCAAATTCGAATAGAGAATTTAAAAAACTTACCTGTGAATGCAATAGAGACAATAAATAGTGTGAGAAAAATTGGTGACATTTTTTTTTTATTGTAATTCTTTCAAAGTTTCAATTTCAACTGACAATTGACAAATTTGAATCCATTTTTATTCAATTCTTGTCATTTGTTTATTTCTTCAAAAAGAACAGGAAAAAATAAAGAAACAAAAGGAGGAAAAATTTGTGATGATGCGTTTTATTGGCAATTTTAGACAATAAATATTGTCCTTTCTGAGAAATTGATTTAAAATTTTTTTTCTCTTTAATATTGTTATTTATTCATCATTTAATTATATTAGTTGGAAATATAAAAAAATTTATATTATTTTAATCGGAAATAAAATAATTAATTAATTAAATTTACACACTTTTATTAGTTATTTATTTGTTACTATTTATTTATTTATTTATTGTATACAGCTAATTTATTTATTTATATTCCTTAATTTAAAAATTAAGGAAACATTTATTAAAATGTTTCGGCAAGAATTATTCTTCTTCTATTGAATTATTATTAATAATGTTTGCTTTCCAAGTTTTCTATAAATTTTGTTTTTTTATTAACAACGTTGAGAGAAATTAATATTTTATTATTTATATTTACATTTTTTGTATCGAAAACTTTTTTTTCTTTTTTATTTCATTAATTTGTTTGTACATGAATCATTTCCTTTCTTTTCACTTCAATCTTTCTTTATTTATAGGCATTGTTTTCAACTTTTTTATTCACATTTTTTCTTTTTGTAATAGAAAGAAAAATTCCTCTTCGTTAATAAAGGAAAATTTATAAGAATCATATATTTCTTTTTTGTTTTTACAGATTTCACTGAATAAACAATTTTTTGTTATCAAATTTAAATACAATTTGAATACATGGATATTAAAAATTTATTGTCAATTTGTTTCCGCAAAGATATTTACAGGAAAAATGTTCAAAATTTATATATTTTTTGTTTATTATCAATTCAAGAATGCACATTTCATTTTGTCAGTGCAATTTGTGAAAAAATAATTTTTTTTTCAAGCAAAGACTGTGTTAATAAAAATTATTTTTTAGAAATTATTTTTCATTCAATTTCTTCCATTCTAAGACAGTTTCTTTCTAATACACAGTTATGATTTCTTGAAGATATTCTAACGTAACCACGATAACATCTGCAACCTCTTACACATTCCTGTTGACAAAAAAGGAATTTCAATTTAAAACATTAATTTTCATTTATTTATAATTTTATAAATGTGAAATAAAAAAAGAAAAAAAAATACAATAACCAATATAAGTAAAATTATTAATTTTATTACTTATTATTGTTTATTAATTATTAATATTTTTTAATTGTAATAAAATTTTCTATGAAATTAATAATTGTAAAAAGTAATTAATTTTCTTTTACCAATGTACAAGGAATAGGTTCTGGATTTCGAACATTATCACAAGTTTTTGGACACCGTGTACCACACTCGGTCCATATTGAATTTTCCCCACATTGTTGCGTGCTTACAAAACCTATATTACAAAATAAAAAAAAAATAATTGTAAATATTGTATTTTTTTTTTAATTTAAAAAAAGAAAAAAGAAAAATATCCAAAAAATAATAAAGAGAAATAAAAAATTTTTTTCAATGAGAAAAAAGGGAAAAAAGAAGTAAAGCGAAAAAAAGAAATAAGAAGAAATAGAGAAATAAAGCAAAGAAATGAAAATAAATATAATGAAAAAAGTATTTTTAACGAATAATAATTACAAGAAACTTACCTGCAGACGCAACCAAAACAATGAAAAAAGTAATAAGAAACGGTGACATTTTGTTCTAGTTAAGAAAAAATTCTAAATGCAACTAACAATCCCTGAACTGATATCGTGTTTTTTTATACTTTTTTTGTTATTTACTTTTATATTTGTAAAATAAATTTTTCCATTTTTATCACGAAAGAAAATGAGGAAAAAGTTTTATGTTAAGTAGAATTATTTTTATTTATTTATTAATGGTTAAAAAAATCGATAATAATAAGAATAATTTTTAAATTATTTATCGTTGACAATTTATTTCTAAAACACATGTTTTACTTCTTCGCGATCTTCTAACGAAACCTGATTTACATACACAGCCAGCTTCACAATTCTGTTTGACAAAAAATTATTAACTTTTTTTTATTAATTATATTAATAATTATTAATTATTATAATTATAAGCAAATTACTATTTAAACGTTATTAACAAAACGCATATATAATTAATAACTAATTATCATGATTAGCAATTAATTATGATCATTAATAATTAATTATCAAAATTAACAATTATTTACCATAATTATAGTAAAATATAATAATTAACAATTAATTATCATAATTAGTAATTAATTATCAGAATCAATAATTAATAATCATAATTAATGGTTAATTATTATAGATTATCATTATCATAGTTAATAATTAACTATCATAATTTTATCTTATGAAAAATCATTTATTTTAAAACAAAAAGATTGATTTTAAATTTTTATTGTAAACATTAAAATATTTATTAAACAGTTAAACATACGGCACTGCAAATAGTTGTAATTGGATTATTTATGTCGTCACAATTTTTTTGACACGCAAAACGTCTACCACAATTTGTCCAAACTTCATTTCTTCCACATTGAGCGTTTACTGAAGCTAAAAAAAAATTATATTAAAAAGAAAAAAAACTGTTGATGAATTTTTTTGTATTATTTCTGTTTAATTATTTGTTTACCGAAATTAAAAAACACCTGTTTACAAAGAAACAAAAAATAAAAGAAAAATTAATAGAAAAATTCGTAATAAAATGACAAACTTACCCAGAGTCACAATTAAGAGAATAAAAAAATTAATGAACAATCGTGACATTTTTTCTGATTTCAAAAAAATTTTCTAAATTCAACTAACGATATATTTTTGAATTGACATTCGAATTTGAATTTATATGTTGAATTTATATACTTTTCTGAATGTTTACTTTTACTGGAAAATAAATTTTTTCTTTATCGAAATATGGAGAAAGGAAATATAAGGAAATTTTGTGCTTTTAAATATATTTAAATAAATTTTTATTTGTTTATTTACTTAATTTTTTTCTTTTTTCATTTTTCTTTTTTCTTTTTATATAAACTCATAAATGACTCATAAATGTGAAATATTAAAAATATAATATAAGTAATAATAATAGTACATAATGTTTGCTTAGAAACAAAATTAGAAAACATGTAGAAAAAAATAAATTTACAAAAATTTCCAGAGAATAATAATAATAACAATAATAATAGTAATAAAAATAATAATAATATTAATGTTTATAAAAATAATAATAATAGTAATAAGAATAATTTAAATGATAACTTAAGTAATATCTTTATTCGAATTTAATCTTAGAAAGAAAGAACTAAACTATTAATTTATTTTAAATATACACAGAAAACATTTTTTATAGTTTATTATAATTTATTTATTACAGTCTAGAAATTGAAAAAAAAAATCTTAAAACGCATAAGGGAATAAATAATTTTTATTCATAATTTTCAACAATATTTAATATTTAATATTTATTTTTAACAATTAAATAATTGTTGAATTTTAAAAACATTTTGTAAGATTGTTACAAACTATTTAACAAAATTCTGCATTTCTACCATTTATTATTAAAAAAAATGTATTTTCCACTAGATTTTATTTTATTTTTAACCAAATAAAAATTGAAAAATTTGAAAGTTATTCATTTTTTTTCAACCGGGGACATTCATGATTTGGTATGCATGTGGAATTTGTTCTTGAAACTAAAATGTAACCCGTGTTACAGACACAACCTTTTCTACAGACCTATCAACAAAAAATAATATTTAGAAAAAAATTGTGTAAAATAAAATAAATAAAGAAAATATAATAAATAATATAAGTATTTTAATTGTGAAACGAGAATTTTTTAATTGATTACAATTTTTTTATAATATTTATTAAAATTTTTACCGTAGGACAACGAAATAACATTCGCCCAATTGGTCTTTGACAAGTTCTGGGACAGAATGAACCACAATTCTTCCAAATTCCATTCGGTCCACAATCGGGAAATATATTTTCTTCTGTTTGTGCATCCATTATTGCTACATAAAGAATTTATTTATTTTCAAAAATTTTTAACTAAATAGAAATTTAAAAATCAAAGTTTGCGAAAAAAATATTTTTTTGGTCTGAAATTGGGTTTGTAACAAAGTTGAGTACTTACATTACATTTTTTTCACGTCTACATATTTTATTATACATTTACTTTATAAATTATAATTTATTTCAATTAATTAATTTTTGTGATGATAATTTTGAAAAATTACTTACATGTCGATGCAATTAGAGTAAAAATTAAAATTATAAACATTTTTGACATCCTGTTACTCTAAGAAGTCTCAATTTCAACTGACAATTGGCAAATGCAGGAAAAAATTTTATCGTAGTAGTTTTTTTCAAATAAATATTAAATTAAAGATGCGCAAATGTGAATAAGGAAAAATTTACCGATAATTGCCTATCAATCAATTTCTATAAAATTCAAAAAAATTTATTTTATTAAAATAAAGAAAATAAAGCCACTTTATTAAAATCGTCCAATGAAAAATTTGCATTTATTTTTTATTCTTTTATTTACTAATAAAAAATAATAATAAAATCAAAGGAAAATTATTAAAACACAATTACATTACAGTTTTCTAAGGATTTCAAATTGAGATAAAAAATCTATAAAAATAGTTGCGATTCTACGTTTTATTGATATTTTTTTTGTCTCAATTTGGTATCCTTAGAAAAACTGTGACTTTTTTGTTCGTAAATTAAATTATAAAAAACTAGAATTAAATCTAAAAAAAATAATAATTATTATTAATTATTATATTTTCTTTTAAAGTATTTTTTAATTTATAAAAAAAGAATCAAATTTTAATACTTTATCAAGTTTATTGTACAGTAAAAATACAATTTTATTTATCAATTTTTAAAAAAAGGCAAGATTTTCTTTTTCGGATAAATTATTCATCAACTGATGGCCTTATGACGGGACAGATTGAATTTGGATAGCAATTAGGGTCACTTAAATCTTTTCTAATGTAACCCTCAATACATACACAACCCTTTACGCACACCTGTTGAAAATAAAAGTCAATATTTAAATTTGGAAAAATTTAAATAAAAATTTTAATAATAAATAAATTAAAATAAATTTTATAAAAAAAAAATAAATTAAATTTTAAAAAAATAAATAAATAAATTTTAATAATTTATAATAATATTATTATTATTATTATAAATTTTATAATATTAATATTATAATAATTAATAATTATATTGTTATTTATTATTTTAAATCTTGTGCTTAAAATTATAAACTTACCGCGGGACACATAATTGGATTTGGACTATTTAAATCTTTACAATTCGGAGGACAATATGAAGCACAATCACTCCATACTGCAAAACGTCCACATCGCTGATTTGGTCTAGGAGTTGCTATGAAAAGAATAAAAATTTTTTTTTGTCTTTGCTCAAATTTTCTATTTGAATGTTTTTAAATTAAGGGGAGGTTCCCATTGCGGGAGTCAAAAAAATTGATTTCTTTTTTATTGTATTTTTTTAAAGCTATATATATGTAGAATATGTGTGTATAGCGATTTTTTGATCCGAAGAATATTTTCGTTTTTATGAAGTCTTGAACTCACCGCCGTCCCGAGCACTGAGTAACAAATGTCAGGCAAATCGAATCAATTTTTAAAAATTTTGCAAATCTGACCTCAGAATCGTAAAGAGCGACCCTAAATACCTATAGATATTTATCATATACGCAAATTGAACAAAGAATTGCAAAGAATACAATTATTGCACAAAAATGTTTCTCAAACCTTAAACGCGTTTTTCTCGAAACAAGATTTTAAAACTGGTGGGCATCGTAGCGTCTAAACTATTTAATCAATCAACTTCGGGTTTGCGGATAATTAAAGGTAACTAAATTCTACTGGGGTTATACCTATAATATAATAAAATTGTTAACAATAGAGATTTTTACAAGAGATCAAATATGTAAAAATAATGCGAAAACGCAGTTTTTTTAAAAATGTGTCCGCCATTTTGTCATTTTATTAACTTTTTAACTATTTTATAGGTATAACCTATTCTTTAGGATGTCACCTTTATAAAAAATTTTGAGTTTTTGTTTTAGACTAAAAATTGCGCAGTGTAGAATGCCCACCGTTTTCCCTATTTAAAAAAACATTATTTTCTAGATGCGCCATATTGGCCGCCATTTTGCATTTTTTTGAAAATGAAATATATATTTTAAAAGTTCAAGAATGTATCTTTATTTAGAAAAAAAAATTACATCGCTAAGTCATAGCCGTTCCTCGCAAAAAATTGTCAAAGTTTGTGTTTATTTTGGCCCCCGCAATGAGAACCTCCCCTTAAGCTTTTTGCTTTCTATGCAAATTTTATAATAAATAAAATAAACAAATTTTTAAATAATTAAATATTAAAGTAATAAATAATAAAACTTTAAATAAAAAAAATATAAACAATGAAAATAAAATAATAATTGCAATACATTCAATGGATGCAATAATGTTATAAATAATAATATAAATAAATAAAAAATATAAAATGATAGAAATTGTAATTTTTAAAATTACTTTTTAAAATTGTAATTTTTATATTACTTTTTGTTGAAATTGTTTCTTAATTATTTCGTAATCATATTTAGGCCTTTTTTTTAGAAATTAATTAATAATAATTATAATTATGATTAAAAATTTCCATATAATTTATTATATTATAAATTATAATATGCAACTTGCAAATAATACTAAAAAAACGTACTTGACCATACAATTAGAACAATAAGTAAAGTAAAAAAAAAATGGTGACATTTTTCTATAAAATTTTAAAATATTTCAAATAAAATCAACAATTTAGAAATAAAATTGAATTTCATTTATTGCTTTTATTTATTACTCTTTAGTTATATACCTGATAAGTGAAAAAAATAAGGAAAAGTTTATTCATAATTTCCTATTGGTGAAATTTATAAACAAGATAACCGTGTCTGTTAATAACAAAAAAAAAAAAAAGAAAGGAAGTCACAAAAAATTTATTTGTTGATTATAAATTAGAAAATATTTTCCCTTTCATGACTTTTAAAAATATTTTCTTAAAAATTGAGATTAAGAAAATTTATTTGAATTTCAAGGGTAATTTTTTTTTTCCTACCTTTTTTCGGACAATCTTCCTCTAAAACGCATTCCACACTATTTTTCGATTTTCTTATATATCCTTGCATACAATTACATCCAGCACGACATAATAACTAAAAAAGATAAATTATTTTCAAAAAATAGTTGACAATATTGTTGACAATCGAAATAATTAAATTGTTAATAAGAAAAATAAATAAATAATTCATAAAAATATTGATAGTAATAGAAATATTAAATATAATAATAATATAAATCTAAATAAATAAATAAGTTTATTAAATTAAATAAATAAGTATTATAAATAATAGAAATGAAAAAATAATGATAATAAATAAAGTGATCAATGAAATATTTATTTTTTAAATTAATTTAATTAATTAAATTATAGATTGTAGAATTAAAATGTAAGTCTTTTTTTGTTGGGACTTTTTTTAAATAATTAAATTACGATTAACTTACTGAATTACATCTGATAGGATTCGGATTATTAATACTATCACAAGAAGGTGAACAGGGCATTTGACAACGACTCCATACAGCGTTTGGTCCACAATCTCTGATTGGTACAATTTCAGGTTGAGCGTTTATCACATCTTTAAGAAATTAAAATTTAATAATAAAATTTTATCGATAATTTTAATTCAAAAGTTAATTTACCAAATTATTCTAATTTTATATAATTATTCAATTTTTTCATTTACTTCAGTGCTGAATACTATTAATTCCAATTCAAATTAAAATTCGAATTCTAATTCAATTTATAATTTAAATTAAAATTCCAATTTTCTAATTCAATTTATAATTTAAAATATAATTTAAATTATAAACTGGTTTATAATTCGAATCATAATTTGAATTATTAATTTATTGAATTGCTTTTAAAATCAATTTAATATTTATTAAATTGTAATTAAAATTATAATTTAAATTATAAACTGAATTATTATTTAAATTATGTAACTGGAACTTGAAATAAAATTAAACAAGAAAACTAATAAATTTTAAAATAATAAAATTGAATAAAAGAAATAAAAAAAACGATCTAACTAAAAAATTTGAAAGAATAAAATAAATACCTAATGAAAAAGAAATAAAATTTAATATAATTATTTATAATTAAAATTGTTTGGAATAATTACTGATATATTTTCTTACTTGCTAAGACAAATGTTGTGATGAACAAAAAAACGCAAGAAGGTGCCATTATTTTTTCAAGTTCAATTTTAGAATTTTTTTACTCAACTGAACAAAACGTATTATCAAATCTGACTTTTATTTCAAGACTTAATTGTACTTCTGTTATCTCTGCGAAATGCTAAATTCAAACTGGAGACAAAAAAAAGGAGAAAAAAACGTGCATGTGAATCACCTGAATGTAATTGTGCAGGAAACATTGAAACGGTCATAAAATTAAAACAGTGTAAAATTTTTTTTATCATTTCTTTATTTAGATGTTTTTGCCATATACATGAATTTTTTTTTAACAAACAATTAAAAATCAGAAAAATAATTTTGATAAAACCGAAAATTAACCAAAAATGGTAAATAGTAGGTTTTAAATAAAATTTAAGAAAGTTTTTTATTTTTTTTTTCTTTTTTGCTTGATGGTAAGTTTTATTTTCTATTTGTTTTATTATTTGATTTTCAATTCTTTTTTCTTTGATTTTTATTTCTTCTTTGATTTTTATTTTTTGTATGAATTATTATTTTATAGATTTTTATTTTTAATTGTCTTATTTTTAATTTTTTCTAATAATTATTGTGTATCGATAATTAATAAAAAGGTCTGAATAAATTTAAATTTAAATTTTCGGTTTTAGAAATAGTACCATTAGTGTCTTTTTTTAATGAAATAAGTGTCATTAATAAAATATTTATAAAAATAGCAGCTAAAGAGTTTTATAAGGGAAAAAAATTTTCAAAAAATATGAACAAAATCAGTAAATTAAAACATTCGTAATTAATTTATTTTTTATGAGAATTTTATACAAATTATTGTCGAAATAATATTTTAACAATCTTGTGGCAAGACGCAAGCATAGGTTTTATCGTGTCTTATAAATCCTGATTTACACTGACAACCAATGTGACAACTCTGAAAAATAAATTTTTGTTAATAAAATAATATAAAATAAAAATAAACAAAATAAAATTATAATAATTAAATTATAGCAAAACACAATACAATAATTAATAATCATTATCTCAATGAAGAATAAAAAAATAATTTTCCAATTCGCTAAAAAAATGGATTTTTAATTAAATTTTATCAACTGAATTTATTTCATTGAAAATAAATTTTCGAGTATAATTTAAAATTAATTAACACTCACTGCAATGCAGACGATATCTGCCCGATTATCGTTACATATTTCAGGGCAGTGAGAGCCACATGTTGTAAATTCTTCATTGGGACCACATTCTAGACCTGTCGGCTGTCGATCTACTTCTAAAATTTATAACAATTCTCTAATTTTACACATTCGCCTTCCACAATATGCGTTGAATTTAAATTTAAAATTTTTTTAAAATTTTGATGATCAAATTATTTTTAAGTATTTTAATATTAAAAAATAGCGTGAAATGAATAAATATTAATAATATAAATATATACATAAATACTAATGATGTAGGTAATAAAAATATTAATAACAAATATATTAACATTAATAAAATATTGATAATATTGATACTGACAAAATATTTTTCTAAATGTTAATAAACAAATTTTTTTAAAAAAAATATTACTTGAATTTTACATTTAGAAACTTTATAAATCATTTTTTTGACACGTGACGCCAAATTATTGTGATAAAAATTTAATTTGTAGATAAAATAAAAAAATTTAGTTGATTTGAAAATTCAAAACTTTTCGGATCATTAATAGTAAAATAATAAAATAAAAAAAAAATTAAGTTCAATTTCTAAAAATTTCTAAAACTGGAAAATGATTAAATTAAAAGTATTAGTTTTGTCAAAAGTTTTTTTTTAATTAATTTTTCTATGTGAAAAAAAATACTCACGAGCTGTTGTAATTGTTAAAAGGAGAAAAAGAAGAAAAACACGAAACATATTGACAACTTGATAGAATTACAGCTTCTGAGATTTATCTTACGCAAATTATTATTTTATACCAGTGACTAACAATATGTTACATAAGTAATACTAATTGCCATATAACACTATTTTTATAACGCACTCATCTGTTCGCAATTGTCATTAAGAGATATAATTGAGAAAACATGCGGATTCTTTCTTTCTACTAATAAATATTTTCTTGCAGAATTAATAAAATTATACTAATTTTTGTTTTAACTTTAGTTATAATTTTAATTTTAGTTAATTTTATTTCTACTAATTTTAGTCATTTCTTACTATAAAAATGTTAGTAAAAAAATTTTGTGTTCGAAAATTTTGAATAAAATAAGAATAATAATTAATAACTAAATAATATAACATAATTATTATACTATTTTTTCTTACTAAATAAATTAATAAATAAAGTATAATTAAAATCTAGAAAGAATTAGTCAAAATTTCAAGAATTTTTTGTTTCTAAACAATTTTTGTGATTGTCTAATACGAAACTTTTTCTAAAAAAATTTTTTTTTATAAAATTTTGAATAGAAAAATATTTTTTCTTAATTTATTAAAAACTTTTCGAAACTCATTGAAATTTTAATATTGTATTGTTTACAACTAAAAAATTATTTATGAATTTGTTATTCTCAAATAACTTTTTAGTTGTTTTTTATAATTATTTCCTTTTATTGACATAAAATTTAATTATCGGAGACTAAATAAAAAAATTTTTTTTTGATTGTCAATTACGAAAAACTTTTTCTAAAATTTTTTTTTTTTTTAGAAAAATTTATATTTAAAAATTTGAATATCTAGAAAAATATTTTCTTCTTCGTTTATTAAGAACGTTTCGAAATTAATTAAAATTTTATTATTGTAAAAAGAAAATTCTCTAATTTTTTTACTTGTTCTTCTATAATTATTTCCTCTCATTATCAAAATTTAAACAACGGTGATTGTCGATCACTAAGCTTTTTCTAAAATATTTTTTTTTATAAAAATTCGTATAAATATTTGAATGGAAAAATATTTTTTCTTCGTTGATTAAAAACGTTTCGAAATTCATTGAAATTATAACATTGTAAGAAAAATTCTCTAATAAGTTTTAGTTGTCTTTCTATAAATTCTTTTCTTTTATTATCATAAAATTTAAATATCGGAAATTAAATAAAAATTCTTTCTAGATTGTCGATCACGAAACTTTTTCAAAACAATTTTTTTTTAATAAAAATTCTAAAAGAAAAATACTTTTTCTTCGTTGACTAAAAACGTTTCGAAATTTATTGAAATTTTATTATTAAAAAAAAATTCTTTAATACATTTTTTGTTGTTTTTCCATAATTATTTCCTTTCTTCTTTTTCAGTTCTTCCTTTTCTTTTTTCCTTTTTTTAACATTTTTTTTCATAATCATAAAATTTATGTATGGGAGACTAGGTAAATAATAATTTAATAATAATAATAAATAATAATTTTTGAACAATAATTTTTTAATATTAATTTGCAAATATTTATTACAGGTACAACTGCAAAATTTGATAACGTCGAAATTCATTGCACACTTTCTCGAGGAAGTTTCGACTTGGCAGAAAAAATTAAGTATTGCCGATCAAGTGACGACCGTTTGGTTTGAAGTTCAACGCACTTGGATGCATTTGGAGAGTATATTCATGTCCTCGGAGGACATTAGAAATCAATTGCCAGTGGATGCAGAGCGTTTTGTTCGAATTGACAAGGAATTCAAAGAAATGACCGAGGATATGTCAAAGACGCCAAATGTCGTGCAGGCAACAAATCGCGATGGTCTAGCGAGTGCTTTGGAAATTTTACAAAATGAATTGGTTCTTTGTGAAAAAGCACTAGCCGAATATCTTGAAACAAAACGTCTTGCATTTCCCAGATTTTATTTCGTCTCATCAACCGATTTACTCGACATTCTCTCAAATGCCACACAACCGTCAGTTGTCGCGAAACATTTAACAAAACTTTTCGATTCCATGGCGAGATTAAATTTCGCCAAAACTAAAGACGGCGAACCGAAACGAATCGTTGGTGAGAATTTAATAAAAAAAAAAAAAAAATACAATTTTATTTTCCTACTAAAAAAATTATTATCAAAGTTGACACAAAACATAATTTGATTTCAATTATTTTTAATACAATTTTAATACCATTTTTCGAAATGGTTAAAATATTCTAAAATTATATTAAAAATAATTGAATTTTTGGAGAATTTCATTGAAATTAATTGTTTAAAGGTACTTGAAATTTGAAAGAAAAATAAAATAAAAATTAATGTCTTTTTACTTCCTCGAGTTTTTTACAATTTATGAAATAAGAAATCAATGATTAATTTTTATAACTAAGTTTCAATATGATAAATATTCAATATACAAAATAATTTTTGAAAATGTTTAATGCAAATGTTTGAACATTATTTTGTTTTTAATTTCCTAAATTAATTAAGATTATTAAGATTAATTTTTTTAAATTAATTTAATTAATTTTAACTTATTTAAGCAAGCTTTTGTATTTACTTTACATTGAATATTTATCATATTTAAAGTTAGCTACATAAATGGAATATTGATTTCATTTTTTTATTGTTTTAAAAATTCAGGGAAATAAAAAGACAATTTTTATTTTCATTCCCTGTCGCTAATTTAAAAAACAACATCGATTTTTATTTATTAAAAAAATTCATATCTATTCGTGCAAGAAAGAAAATAAAAATTATTATCTTTCCATTGCCTTGAGTTTTAGTAAGCTATAAAAAAATCAGCGTTTAATTTTTTTAGTTAACTTTCAATATGATAAATATTCAATGTATAAAATATTTTTTTTTTAAATATTTAATTAAAATTATTAAACATTATTTTGTATTCAATTTAGAATATTGTTTGTAATTAAGATTATAGTTTTTATTTACTTTTTGCACATTTGCTCGATTTTGTATTTATTTTGCAAACAATTTTAGTCTTATAAAAAATATTTATCTATGCTCTCTCTAAATGTAAATTACTGAAAATTAAACAACTAATTAACATTTAAAGGGCAGATAGATAAATTTTGTAAATAATTACAAAATATTAATTATAAAAAAATAAATCTCTTTTTTATTATTGTTAACATTTTTTAAGCATTAATATAATTATATTAACAATAGTAGAAAAGAGATTTATTTTTTTATAATTAATATTTTGTAATTAATAATTATTAGTCATTTTTCGTAAAAAATGACAATAGTCAGTAAAATTTCTTACTATGATGAATTAATAACTCAATTTTCATTAAATCAGATTTAAAAATGAACACTATTTACTAATTGAAATTTACAAAGTATCAATTATAATTTCTGAAATAGTCTAATATTTTCAGCAATTTTTCGAATTAAAAATAAAATTTACATACCTTCTTAAATATTCCTTGTAATATAGTAACGTTTAAAGAAGCCACAAATCTTCAGAGTGTTTTGTTTTTTCTACTCGCCTATAGTATTTGCGAAAATATTTTTAAATTTATAGGAATTAATCGTTCTGATAGTCGTAAAATTGAATATTGCATCAAACTTCTTTAAAAAAAATATTTTCTATTTTTATGACCTTTTCGTTATTACACTAAATTAACTGCAAATTGTTTTGTATAGGTTGTGTACTTATAATTATGTCCCTTTTTGTAGTTTTTTATTTTTAAAGATAGAAAACACAGCATCAATGTTTTCTTATATTATTTTTATTTCATCGTTGATATCGTACATCCGATACAGAAAATATTTTTTTAATGTACATTTTATCAGTAGTTTTTAATTAAAGATAAATGTTAAAACAATTTCCTCATACATGACGATTGGCAGTGTTAAAATATTCTTTTTCCATCTCTATATACTTCTCTATTTCATTCGCTAATTCAGTAAGCCAATTGGACCTTGCATAAATTGGAGAAGTTAATATTTTTACATAAAAATTTGGTGCACCGTTGTCAACAAAAAATTCTGCATCACTTAATACTGTAAGGTCTGTCTTGGGAAGTATTACGTATAGTTCTTCATCTTCAACATCCACGATATCTTTCAAACTTACCATCGCAATAGGATCCGTAATTAACACTTTATAATTCGTCCAGCAGGAAGAATTAGGAAGAAAATACTCATAAATATATGAGTATGATTCTTTATATTTGCTGCTGCAGATACTGAAAGTTGTCTTTTCGAAACTATCTCCCTTCTTTATATCCTGAACGAATTTCTTCCTTTCCTGTTTCTTAAAAAAACATGTTTTTGGAATATAATTCATTGTTGCATTTGAACTGTATTGTCGAATAGCTAAAGTGTATAAAGCTCTTCTCATCCTCCAAGATGCGAGATTCTCCGAATTAATTATAAAATAATTTTTTAATAAAAGTTGAATAGCATAATAATCATCAAATGTAATTAAATTATGCAACATTTTTTCTTTGTAAGATTTAACCAATTTTGGAACATTTATGTTATGTGTCAAATAAAAAATTTCTTTTCTAAGAAAATTAATGTGCATATATGTGTTTTCTATACCTAATCTATATTCTCCAAAAGAGTAATTATATCTCAAAAAATTGTAATTTTTATAATTTTTGAGTTGTCTAGTATTGCTCCATTCTGGTGGACTTCCAGTTCTGTTTAAATGTTCAGCAAATCCATACATTTCCACCTCATTCAAAATATATTGACTTAAAATTTCAAATGCTTCAGGTAAATCATAATTGGAAAGGTATTCTCTTATCACTTTGTTTCTTAGGTTATTAATGCTCTCAAGTTCGTGAATTCGTTCTGAATGTGGTATTCCTGTTGATTCTAATTTTACAACAAATATAATTGTAATAATATTCCCAAGGATAAGAATTGTATTCATTGTGATTGAGAATAATAAATGTTGTCTAATAATTTTGCAATTATTTGTGTGCACGAATCAATTGACGAAAATTAATTTCTAATCTTTTCAGTCGTTCAATATGTCATAAATACTTTTTACCTAAAATATTATTTAAAACTACTATTACAAATATTCAATATAATAATAAAATTAGAAAAAATAGTAATAAACAATTTTAAAATTAAAATTAGAAGAAAATAAGAATTTTACCCTTTCGCAACAAAAACATTTACTTTAATGATAAAAAATTGTCTATAATTTTCATTTGACTAAATAAAAATATACCAACTGCATTTATCTATTCGTGCATAAAAAAATAAAAATTATTGTCTTTTCATGTTTGTGAGTTTCTCTAAATCATAAAATAAGAAATAAATATGTTCAACTTTCGTCGGTAATATCCAATATGATAAATAAATGTACAGAAGAATTTTTTAAAATAATGAATGCGAGTTGTTAAAAGGAAAAAAATCTATTTGTAAAAATCAGGGAAAAACAAAATAAATTTATATACCCGTGCAGAAAAATGGTGAGGGCCCTCGTGGATTGCCCTCTTGCCATGTGGAATCCGTAATGGCAATCCACGCGGAGCCCTCGAAGGCGTGACATGCTTTCCCTCATGGGTACCCTCGAGGAAAATCCTCATGGATTCCATATGGATTTTCCACGCGGTGCCCTCGTGGATTTCATAAAATGCCCTCAACTTTATTTTCAATTAAATTAATAAATTAATTATTTATTAATAACAAATTAGTCCAATTATTGATAAATAACATTCTTATTTAACAATTTTTACTTTTTTTAATTAAATCGTGACAAAAAAAAAATCTGACGCACGTGGGAATTGAGCCTACGACCTACTGACTACCAGACAACACTCTTACCACTATGCTATGGGACCTACTTGAAAATTATTGCTTTAATGTAGGTGACTTGCTGACTTGCTTTTGATGATTCAATAAATTATTTATTGACACTAATACACCATGACAAATAATTAAATAGTTTAATAATAATAATAACAATATTAATAATATAATAATAGACCATAAATATTCATAAATTAATATTTATATAATTTCAAAAAAAAAAAAAATGTCAAAACATTATTGTGTTAAAAACGCGTTTTTCATAGTTTAAAATCATTATATAAACATTAATTTTTTTATGTAAAAAAAAATTTGTTTTTTGGACTTAGAGATTTGCCCTTAGGTAAATTCAATATTTTCAAAAAAAGTAACATTAAATATTTGTTAAAAACGTGTTTTTCATTGTTTAAAATGATAGTAAACAATAATTTTTTGTTGTAAAAAAAATTTTTCGTTTGGACTTAGAAAAATTGTTGAGCAGGGCATTCATAATGGCTAAGAGCAGGGGCCCTGCTGGTGCCCTCGTAAATTTCCATAACTTTGTGATAGGATTTCTGGAAAAATGTCACTTAATGTTTATTTCAGGTGCTTTGAAACGTAATTTAATGCATTCTGAACTAAAGTTTTTCAACAAAAAAATTTTTTTTTTTAAACTTAGATAAATTTTTGAGCAGGGCAACCGTAAGGGCAAAGAACGGGGCCCCTGCTGGTGCCCTCGTGGATTTCTCCTCATGGATCTTCCACGAGGGCCCCGGAGCTGTGGGGCTCGAACGTGGCTTTTTCCACACGGGTAATAATTTTATTACTTAGAAAGATAATTGAATTCTTGCAGACAAATTTCATGATAATTTTTGAAAATAATTGAAATCTATCGAGAAAAAATATTTGAATTCCTTTAAAGAATTTTTTTAATTATGAACATAATTTATTTCTTGGAATTCAATTATTCTTGTCAAGAATTTCAATAAGATTTTTGGAAACAATTGCACTCCTGCAAAGAGTTTTATTGAATATTTAGAAATTATTGAATTCTTTTGAAAATTTTAATTAAAATTGTTAATTAATTTACTTTATTTTTTTAATTTCATTTTTTTATATTAAATTATTTAATATTATTTTATTAATTTTATTAAAATAATTGAATCACTGCAAAGAATTTTATTGAATGTTTAAAAACTAATTGAATACTTTCGAAAAATGGTATTAAAATTGTATGGAAAATAATTAAATTCCCGCAAATAATGTTATTACTTATAAAGACGATTGAATTCATGAGAACAATTTCATAACAAGTTTTGAAAATAATTGAAATCTTTCGAGAAAAAAATAATTTAATTGGTATAAAGAATTTCGTTATTTATGAACATTATTAAATTCTTGTGACGAATTTGAATAAAGTTTTTGAAAATAATTGAATTTTTGAACAAAGAGTTTTATTAAAATATTTAAAAATTATTGAATTCTTTTGAAAAATTTAATTAAAATTGTATTAAGCATAATAATTTGATTTCAGCGAAGAATTTGATAATTTATGAATTGAATAATTGAATTCTTACGAAAAATTTTATGAATATTTTCTTAAATAATTGAATTTCTGAAAAGAATTTTATTAAAAGTTTTAAAAATAATTGAATTCTTTTGAGAAATTTAATTAAAATTGTATTGAAAGTAATTGAATAATAGAATTAAATTTTATAATTTATGAAAATAATTGAATTCTTACGAAAAATTTTATGAATATTTTCTTAAATAATTGAATTTCTGAAAAGAATTTTATTAAAAGTTTTAAAAATAATTGAATTCTTTTGAGAAATTTAATTAAAATTGTATTGAAAATAATTGAATTCTAGCGAAGCATTTTATTACTTATGAAGATAATTGAAATTACATGAAAAATGTTATAAAATTTTTTGATAATAATTGAATTTCTGCAAAGAATTTTATTAAAAGTTTAAAAAATAATTGAATTCTTGCGAAAAATTTTGTGATAACTTTTGAAAATAATTGAATTTCTGGAAAGAATTTTATTAAAAGTTTTAAAAATAATTGAATTCTTTTGAGAAATTTAATTAAAATTTAAAATTGTATTAAAATAAATGGAATTTCCACGAAGAGATTTAGTACTTATGAAGATTATTGAATTTTAGCGAAAAATTTTATTAAATTTTTTTGATAATAATAAATTCTAATTAATTAGTTAATAAGTGACTTGTTTTTTCTTTTGAATCTGAAATTATTGAAAAATTAAAGTTGATAGAATGTTAATTACTTAATTACAATTTTAAAAAAATACAATAAATATGTAATTAAATATTAAACAATTAAAAAAAATATGAAATAAATGAATAAATAAACAAATTAAATTTATTGCATTTTCTATTTTGAAGGAATGCACGCGAAGGATGGAGAATACGTGGAATTCACCAACTATGAAATGATTTGCGAAGGAGCAGTGGAGGTTTGGTTGAATCGCCTCCAAATGGCAATGAGAGTATCAATTCGTCATTATTTCAGTGAATCAGTGGTATTGTATGAGGAGAAACCACGTGAACAATGGCTTTTTGATTATCCAGCGCAAGTGTCACTATGTGGAACACAAATTTGGTGGACCACTGAGGTGACACTGGCTTTTGGAAGATTAGAGGAGGGTTACGATAATTCAATTAAGGATTATTTGAAAAAACAAATTTCCCAATTGAGTACATTAATTTCCCTTCTTCTTGGCGAACTAAGTAAACAGGATCGTCAGAAGGTGATGACAATTTGTACAATTGACGTTCATTCGAGAGATGTTGTGGCAAAATTGGTTCAAGCTAAAGTTGAAACTGCTCAGGCCTTTCAGTGGCAAAGTCAATTGCGACATCGATGGGACGAAAAGGAGAAGGATTGCTTTGCAAATATTTGCGACGCTCAATTCAAATATTCACACGAATATTTGGGAAATACTCCAAGGTTCGCTTTTAATTATTATTAACTAATTAAAAAAATTTTATTCTAAATTAATTAATTAAAAAATCAATAAAATATCGTGCAATGAAAAAAAAAGTTACTTGATAGAAATATTTATTTCTATACAAAAATTAAAATTCTGTACAAAATTTTGCTAAAATTATTTGCAAAAATTCGATGATTTTCAATACATTTATTTTAAAATTGAAAATATTTGAAAAGAAAAATTATTAAAAAAAGTTAAGAAACAAAAAAGCAAACAACAACTAACTTCAAACTGCGAACAGATTACCGGAACATGTACTTTATTATTATTAATTATTATAATTTGCTAGATATAAAAATATAAATAAAAGGAACAAAATATTGCAAACAAAAGAGAGAAAATAATAAATAAAATAGAAATTAAGTAAAAGAGTCCTGTTAGTAATTTCCTAAATTTGCATCTAATGTAAATCGTCAATTTGCAGACTGGTGATAACTCCCCTGACAGACAGATGCTACATCACGTTAACGCAATCTCTTCATCTTGTGATGGGGGGTGGTCCAGCAGGACCAGCCGGAACGGGAAAAACGGAAACAACGAAAGATTTAGGTAGAGCCTTGGGTATAATGGTATATGTGTTCAACTGTTCGGAGCAAATGGATTATAAATCTTGTGGCAACATTTATAAAGGACTCGCTCAAACCGGCGCTTGGGGTTGCTTCGATGAATTCAACCGAATTTCCGTCGAGGTACTCTCAGTGGTTGCAGTTCAAGTGAAATCCGTGCAAGACGCAATTAGAGATAAGAAAAATAAATTCAATTTCATGGGCGAAATAATTGCTCTTGTGCCATCGGTTGGTATATTTATAACAATGAATCCAGGTTACGCGGGACGCACTGAATTGCCGGAAAATTTGAAAGCACTATTTCGTCCCTGCGCAATGGTTGTACCTGATTTTGAATTGATTTGCGAAATTATGCTGGTGGCTGAGGGTTTTCAGGAGGCGAAAATTTTAGCGCGCAAATTTATTACACTCTATACATTGTGCAAGGAATTATTGTCGAAGCAGGATCATTACGATTGGGGTTTGAGGGCAATTAAATCGGTGTTGGTGGTTGCAGGAAGTTTGAAGAGAGGCGATCCGGGAAGACCGGAAGAAGAGGTCCTTATGCGGGCATTGAGGGATTTTAATATACCAAAAGTTGTTTCAGACGATTTACCAGTTTTTATGGGCTTAATAGCCGATCTATTTCCCGCTCTCGATGTTCCCAGGAAGAGGGATATTGATTTTGAGAAGACAGTGAAGCAGGCGGCTGCTGATTTACTTCTTCAGCCGGAGGATGGTTTTATCTTGAAAGTCGTTCAACTGGAGGAATTGCTGGAAGTTAGACACTCGGTTTTTATTGTTGGCCTCGCTGGTTGTGGTGAGCATCAATTTTTTTTAACTATTCAGTTTGATAATTAATAGGATTTTTAATAAAAAAAATAAGCAAATACAGGGTTACCAAGAAACTTTAATTTTCTTTTTTCCTGACTTTTCCCCGTGTGGCAACCCTGAAATAGATGAAAAAATACCAATTTAAACGACAAATATTTTCTTACAGGAAATAATAGATTAAAAATAAGGATAATTTCAGGTAAAACGAAAGTGTGGAATACTCTCTTCAGGACCTATCAGAACATCAAGAGAAAACCCATTTACAACGATCTGAATCCAAAGGCAGTAACGAATGACGAACTATTTGGAATCATCAATCCAGCAACTCGTGAATGGAAGGACGGTCTATTTTCAGTGATAATGAGGGAGCAAGCCAATCTTGGAGGCGAGAATCCCAAGTGGATTGTCCTAGACGGAGACATTGACCCAATGTGGATTGAATCACTAAACACCGTTATGGATGACAACAAAGTTTTGACTCTCGCCAGCAATGAGCGAATCGCATTAACACCCGCCATGAGACTTCTTTTTGAAATATCGAATCTCAGAACAGCGACGCCAGCAACTGTCTCAAGAGCTGGAATTCTCTACATCAACGCCCAAGACTTGGGTTGGAATCCCTACGTGACCAGCTGGATCGAAAAACGAACATTAGCCAGTGAAAAATCAAGTCTCGTTATGCTGTTCGACAAATACATTCCCCAGTGTCTAGAAACACTGAGAACCAGATTTAAGAAGATAACCCCCATCGCTGACATGGCGCACGTGGAGATGCTCTGCCATCTCTTAAATTGCCTCCTAGTTCCCGAACTAACCGCCAACGATTTCTCCAAAGACGATTATGAACTCTACTTCGTATTCGCCGCAGTCTGGGCTTTCGGATCATCAATGTTCCAAGACCAAACCGTCGACTATCGTATCGAATTCACCAAATGGTGGGTCAATGAATTCAAACAAGTGAAATTCCCCGCTCAAGGAACTGTATTCGACTGCTACATTGATCAGGAGACGAAAACATTTGTCCCCTGGTCACAAAGATTGCCGAGATTTGAACTCGATCCGGATATACCACTGCAGGCGGTTCTTGTCTACACTGCGGAATCAATTAGAATTCGTTACTTCCTCGATTTGCTGATGAATGAAAAACATCCGGTGATGTTGGTCGGTACGGCTGGTTGTGGGAAAACTGTACTTGTTTCGGAAAAATTGTTACAACTCTCTGAGAATTACGCAGTGACTAATGTGCCGTTTAATTTTTATACATCTTCGGAGATGTTGCAGAAGATATTGGAGAAGCCTTTGGAGAAAAAGGCGGGTAGAAATTATGGACCACCTGGCAATAAGACATTGGTTTATTTTATTGATGATATGAATATGCCGGAGGTTGATACGTACGGGACGGTGCAGCCTCATACTTTGATCAGACAGCATTTAGATTATGAGCATTGGTACGATAGGACGAAATTATCACTTAAGGATATTCACAATTGTCAGTATGTGAGTTGCATGAATCCGACTGCTGGATCGTTTACTATTAATCCAAGATTGCAGAGGCATTTTGCTGTCTTTGCTGTCAGCTTCCCTAATGCTGAATCTTTGACCACAATTTATGCATCAATATTGTCTCAGCATTTGGCAAATATCGAACACAGGTGAGAGGGAAGTAAATTATACCTCTATCGAATTCTAATGATAAATAATTTCAAGTAGTTAAGAATATTTTTTATCCACAGGTTTCCACCTACTGTCACGAATTTATGTTCAAATATCGTCCAAGCTTCTCTTCAATTGCATAATCGTTCGGCTCAAGTGTTCCTGCCAACAGCCGTTAAATTCCACTACATATTCAATTTACGCGATTTATCCAATTGCTTTCAGGGTTTACTATTCAGTACGAATGAATGTCTACAGATACCATCGGATTTTCTACGACTATGGCTCCATGAGACGCAGCGTGTCTATGGTGACAAATTAGTCGACGAGAAGGATATTGAGAATTTTTACAAATTTCAACTTGATATATTGAAGAAAAATTTTGAAGAAATTGACGAAGGGACAGTTTTGGAGAAGCCGAATATCTACTGTCACTTTGCAGGTAGATAAATCAGATTACTTTAATTATAGAATCACTACTTTAATTGTCATAGGGAGTAACGATTTGAGTTAAGATTTTCGAGTTTAAAATCAACGACCCAAAATCTCCAAAATAAGTTAAACAAAAGCTTAACTAATTTTTTGGAATATAATTCCTCAGGTGGAGTTGGCGAACCCAAATACATGCCAGTCCTCGATTGGACGGCTCTTCATCGTCTACTCTCAGAAGCTTTAGTCAGTTACAATGATCTAGTGTCAGCAATGAATCTCGTACTATTCGAGGACGCAATGATGCACGTGTGTCGAATAAATCGAATTCTAGAATCACCGAGAGGAAGTGCATTACTAGTAGGAGTTGGTGGATCAGGAAAACAAAGTCTATCTCGTCTAGCAGCTTTCATCAGCTCACTGGAAGTATTTCAAATCCAGTTGCGAAAAGGTTACGCTGTTACTGACTTTAAATTAGAATTAGCCTCCCTATATACAAAGTCAGGTTTAAAAAATCTGGGAATAATGTTTCTGATGACTGACGCCCAAGTGCCGAATGAACAATTTTTGGTGCTCATCAATGACATGTTGGCTTCCGGTGAAGTTCCCGATCTGTTTCCCGAAGATGAAGTGGAGAACATAATTGCTGGTACTCCACAATATTTTTTAAACATTTATTTACTCTTTAGCGTTGCTAACTTATCTTCGCGTCGTAAATTCTATAGTCTAGATTTACGTAATTGAGCCCCAGACGTCAAATCTGATGATTTCTGACGATAACGATAGTTAGCAATGTCAGGGGGTTAATTTTTACTTTAGTGAATGAGTAAAGAAATTTCTGCTAATTCCAGGCGTGCGTAATGAAGTGAAAGGAGCTGGAATTCTTGACAGTAGGGAAAATTGTTGGAAATTCTTTATAGACAGGGTAAGACGTCAATTGAGAGTTGTGTTGTGCTTCTCACCGGTTGGATCAACTTTGAGAGTGAGGTCAAGAAAATTTCCAGCAATTATCAATTGTACAGCAATCAATTGGTTTCATGAGTGGCCCCAGGAGGCTCTTATGTCAGTTTCGAAAAGATTTCTTCAGGAACTTGAAGAACTACCAGAAGGTTACAGGTAAGAGGTTACAGGGATTTACAGGTAAGAGACAACTGCTTTAAAAATTAGGTAGCTACCTAATGATTTAGGTAATTATCTAAAATAATTACATGATAATGATTGATGATTAATTACCCAACAATGATTAATTATTTACTTCAATTGTTATTTAGAGAATCAGCTGCGAAATTTATGGCTCACGCTCACACGACAGTTAATACGGCTAGTCGGCAGTATTTGGCTAGCGAAAGAAGGTACAATTACACAACACCAAAGTCTTTTTTGGAGCAAATCAGTTTATATACAAAATTGCTAAAAGCAAAAGCAAAGCAACTTCGGGGTCGTATCGAAAGACTCGAAAATGGATTAGCAAAGTTGAGGTCAACTGCCGTTCAAGTTGACGAACTGAAGCAGAAATTGGCCATTCAGGAAATTGAATTACAGCAGAAGAATGAGGCTGCTGATACTCTTATTACAATTGTAGGCGTCGAAACCGAAAAAGTGCAAAAAGAAAAAGCCCTAGGTGCTATAATAATTATTTTCACCAGAATTCTTTCTTAATTTTAGCAATTATATATTTTATAGTATTAACCTTCACGCTACAGAAGTATTTTTTAATGTTAACTGTTATCAATGATTTTGTATTATCAGCCGACGAGGAGGAGACGAAAGTTGCGATGATTGCCGAAGAAGTATTGAAGAAGCAAAAAGACTGCGAAGCCGATTTGGTAAAAGCAGAGCCAGCATTGCTAGCAGCCCAGGAGGCTTTGAATACTCTTAATAAAGCTAATCTCACGGAACTAAAATCCTTTGGTTCGCCACCGGGAGCCGTTACGAATGTCACAGCCGCCGTTATGGTTCTTTTAGCACCAAATGGAAAAGTACCAAAAGATCGAAGTTGGAAAGCAGCCAAGGTAGAATGAACCCTATAGATTTTTTTACCTAAAATTCTAACTCTAGAAATAAATTATTAAAAATATTTGTCATCATTCTTACCATTTAATAAATTGAATCGTAAATCATCGTTTAATAGATAACAATGGCCAAAGTCGACACATTCCTTGACGGATTGATTAATTACGACAAGGAGAATATTCATCCGGAAGTAACCAAAGCAATACAACCTTATTTAAAGGATTCTGAATTCGAACCGGAATTCGTTCGTTCAAAATCGGCAGCTGCAGCCGGATTGTGCGCCTGGGTAATTAATATCATCAAATTCTATGAAGTATTTTGTGACGTTGAACCAAAACGGAAAGCCCTCGCACAGGCGAACGCTGAATTAGCTGCAGCTCAGGATAAATTGAGCGGCATAAAGCGAAAAGTTGCCGTAAGTATTTAAAAATAAATCTTTCTTTTACAATTCATGATCAACGAAATAAATTTATGGATTTTAAGTCTCTGGAGGAGCAACTAGCAAAATTGACAGCCGATTTTGAGCAAGCAACAGCTGAAAAATTGAAGTGCCAAAAAGAAGCCGATGCCACAAATGCAACAATTGCCCTCGCAAATCGTCTCGTGGGTGGTTTGGCTTCTGAAAATGTTCGCTGGGCTGATTCTGTTGCAAGGTGATTTTTAATTACTAATTAATTGATAAATTCTTAATTATAATTAAGAATTATAATTATGTTAGTTCTCCTTACTTACTAGAATTGTAACTTTGTTCAATCTAACGCTTTGGGAAAAAATTAACACATAAATAAAAATAAAATACTTGTATAATAAAAATTTTTTAATGATACAATTAATTAGGAATGTTTTAATTATTGAATACTCCAGCTTCATGCAACAAGGAGCAACATTACCAGGGGACGTTCTATTGATCACGTCCTTCATTTCCTACGTAGGATGTTTCACGAAACAATTTCGATTAGATCTTTTAAACAAACAGTGGTTGCCGTTTCTACGAAATATTGAACCAGCTGTTCCAATTACGGACGGTCTTGATCCACTATCTCTACTAACAGACGACACCCAAATAGCAAAGTGGAACAACGAAGGTCTGCCAAATGACCGAATGTCCACTGAAAATGCCACTATTTTATCAAACTCCGATCGTTGGCCTCTAATGATAGATCCCCAGGTGTTATAAGCATTTTATTATCCACACAATTTTGATTTCAATCGTTTTGCAATTTACGCTTATTTTTCGTTATTAAATAATTTATATAACTATGTATAAACTATTTGTCAAATTTTTTGCATGTTGATAAAGTTTCGAAAGTTAAAATGAAGGAAATTTTTTTTATACTTCGTTCCAATTAAAATTCGATACAATTTTAATTCTAAAGGAAAAAGAAACATTCATGGAAATTAAAAAAGTAGTTGCTTAATAATTATTTAATTATTTTCATCATTTCAAATCAATTATTATTTTCTACAAGTTTTAACTCAAATTCTTCTTTAAATCAATTATTCTTAATAATTTTTGAAAAAGCTCTTTGAGAATTTTTAAATCCATTTGTTTGCGATTCAATTTTAACAAAAATTTTGATTATTTGGAAATTCTTCAATTAAATATATGTTAGAAAATAAAAACTTCAAAAAATTCAATTTCTATCGAAAATTTATTTTTAACTCAATTTTTGTTAGAAAATTTTAAGATAATTTAATTATTTAAATACAAAAATAATCAATTTATTGAATAATTGAGTGTTTCTCAAAATCAAATTCTCATAAAGAATTTTATCAACAAATTTTTAAATAATTTAATTCCTTCGACAAATTTGAATAAAACTTTTAAGAATAATTACATTTTTCGAGAAATTCGATTAAAATTGTATTAAAAATAATTCAAATACTGCGATGAGTTTTATTATTTATGAAAATAATTGAATTATTGCGAAAAAATTTATAAAGAGATTGTAAATAATTGAATTCCTGCAAAATTTTTATTATTTATAAAAATAATTAAATGTTTGCGTAGAATTTTATTACCAATTTTTTTAAATAATTGAATTCTTTTAAAACATTTTATTAAAATATTAGATATTGAAGAATAATTAAATTCCTAAAAATAATTTTATTATTTATGAAAATAATTGAATTATTGCGAAGAAATTTATAAAAAATTTGTAAATAATTTTCAAAGATTTTAATTTGAAACCTTTTCAAAATTCAATTATTTTTAAAAATTCATGGTATAATGCTTTCAATATTCCATTATTATTTAAAATTTTAACTGAAATTAATTTTTAAATTAATTTTTATTAGAAAATTCCACGAAAATTCAATTATTTAAAAATGAAAATAAATATTTTATTGAATAATTGAATGCTTGTTAAAATTGAATAACTATAAAGAATTTTATTAACAAAATTTTAAATAATTGAATTCTTTTGACGAATTTAAATAAATTTTATAAGAATAATTACATTTTTCGATAAATTCGATTAAAATTGAATTATAAATAATTGAAACTTTGCGATGAGTTTTATTATTTATGAAAATAATTGAATTCCTAAAAAGAATTTTATCATTTATGAAAATAATTGAAATTTTAACGAGAATTCTTTTAAACTTTTTAAAATAATTGAATTTCTGAAAAAAATTTATTATTTACGAAAATAATTGAATTATTGCGAAAAAATTTGTAAATAATTGAATTCCTGTGAAATTTTTATTGTTTATGAAAATAGAATTAAATCTTTGTGTATAATTTTATCAAAATTTATTTCTTAATAATTGAATTCTTTTGGAAAATTATATTAATAAGTAGATATTAAAAATCATTGAATGGAGGAAAATTATTTTAAAAAATTGAAATTTTCATAAGAATTTTATTATAATTTTTAAAAATAATTGAATTTTAGAGAAGAATTTTATTATTTGCTTATAAAGATAATTTAAATTTAGATAAGAATTTAAAAAAAATTTTGAATATAATTGAATTTCTCAGAAGAATTTTATTACTTTTGAAACTAATTGAATTTCTACAATCATTTGTTACTTCTCTAAAATTTAATTTTTTAAGTGTTTTTAATTAAAATTCTTCTATAAATCCATTATTTTTAATAAATAATTAAATACATATTAAAAAATTCTGTAGAGGTATCTGAATAGGAAAAAATTTTGTTCGAACTTTACAGATAAATTTTTTAGTATCCACATAGTAAATAAAATAGCTTAGAGATGAATTAAAAGAGATTAAGATAAATTTTTTAGTATCCATATTGTAAATAAAATATATCTTAGAGATGAATTAAAAGAGATTAAGATAAATTTTTCAGTATTCATACAGTAAATACAATAGTTTAAAAATGAATGAAGAGAGATTAATAGAGGAATTAAAAATTGTATCTAATTTTCCATCTGGCAGCTTCAAGGAATAAAATGGATTAAGCAAAAGTACGGTGAGGAATTGAAGGTGATTCGTTTGGGACAACGTGGCTATTTGGATATAATTGAAGTGTCATTAGCGAAAGGTTCCACTGTACTTGTGGAAAATATTGGCGAATCTGTTGATCCTGTTTTGGATCCTCTACTGGGTAGAAATCTAATTAAAAAAGGACGTGCTATCAAAATTGGCGATAAGGAAGTTGAATACAATTCCAATTTTCGACTACTGCTGCACACAAAATTAGCGAATCCTCATTATAAACCCGAGATGCAGGCACAGACAACTTTGATTAATTTCACAGTGACTAGAGATGGTTTAGAGGATCAACTACTGGCCGAGGTGGTCAAAGCCGAACGTCCCGATCTCGAGGAATTGAAGGCTGATCTAACCAGACAGCAGAATGATTTTAAAATTACTCTCAACAGTCTCGAAGATTCACTACTCTCCAGGTATTTTGATCGGAAACTAATTTTTTAATTTGGATAAAATTTTTATTTTTATTTCAATTATCTATTTATGTTTCTATTTTCTATTACTATTTCTGTTTCTATTTCTATTATTTATTTCTGTTTATAATTCTATTATTTATTTCTGTTTCTAATTCTATTATTTATTTCTGTTTCAAATTATATTATTTATTTCTGTTTTTATTTGCTATTACTAAAAATTTTATTCTTTCCTATTGTAAAGTTTCGTCTGCTGTCCGCTGACGCAATTATTTTCTATTTCTATTTTCTATTAGTAAAAATTTTACTGTTCCTTACTTTTTAAATATTCTATAACTGCAAATTTTATTTTTTCTTACAGACTTCGCACTCGATAATTAATTTTAAAATAGTAGCAAAAAGTAGCTTTCAAACTAAAAAAAAGTAGTAAAAAGTAGCTATCGAAAAATTAAAATTGACCAAAAAAAAAACACGATTTAGATACTTCACAAAATTGACAAAAATTCCATTCCATATTTTTCTTTCCTGCCTTTTTCCTAATTTTCATCAAAAATATTTACTTCTTTCTTATCATGCTAATAAATTGAATTCCTGCAACGAATTTTATTATTCATGAAAGAATTTAAATATTTATAAAATATAATTTAATTCTTGCGAAGAATTTTATAAAATTTTTTCAATAATTTATTTCTATCGACTAATTTTATGCAAATTCTAATTCAAACAATTGAATTCCTAAAAAATTTTTCTTATTCATGAAAAGAATTTAATTCTTACGAAGATTTCTACAAAAAATTTTTCAAATAATTGAATTCTGTTTGGAAATTTTATGAAAATAGGAGATATTGAAAATCATTGAATTGCGAAAAGTTTTTAAAAATAATTCAATTTTACAAAGAATTCTATTAAAATTTTTAAGCATAATTAAATGTCTGTGTGGCATTTAATTAAATTTTTTTGAAAATAATTGAATTCCTAAAAAGCATTTTATTATTTATAAAAATAATTGAATTCTTGCGCACGATTTTATTAGAATTTTTTTAAATAATTGAATTTCCAAGAAAAAAATTTATTAGCTACTTTTAGAAATAATTTAATTCTTGTGATGAATATTGCTATTTATGAAAATAATTGAATTTTAAAAAGAATTTTATTAAAATGCCTCAAAATAATTAAATTTTTGATAATAATTTTGTTATTTATCGACATAATTAAATTCATTCGAAGAATTATTTATGTAAATAATTAAATTTTTGCAAAGAATTTTATTAAAATCTAAAAGAATAATTGAATTATTTCAAAAAAATTTAATTAAAATTTTATTTAAAATTATTGATTTCTTTCAAACATTTTGATTTTTGATTTCAAAATGTAAATAATTGAATTCTTCCAAAGAATTTTAAATACAATTTTCTTAAATAATTGATTTTCTCGAGGAATTGAAATTAAATTTTGAAGAATAGTTACATTTTTTGAGCAATTCCTGTAAAATTGTATTAAAAATAATTGAAATTCGTCGATAAATTTTAATATTTATTACAATAATTGAATCCTTGCTAAGAATTTTATTAAAATTTTTAAAAATAATTGAATTCCTGAGAAGAATTTTATTATTTATGAAAATAATTGAATTATTGCAGAAAAATGTTATTAAAATGTTCAAAAAGAATAGAATTTCTGTGAAAAATTTTGTTATTTTTGAAAATAATTGAATTGTTGATAAGAATGTTTATAATCATTGCGTTAAATAATCATTTTTTTCGAAATGTAGTACATATTATGAAAATTTTATTTTAAATAATTGAATTCTTGTGGAAAACTTTATTTGTAAAAATAATTGAATTTTTCGATTAATTAATTTTAAATAATATTAAAAATAATTGATTCCTGGGAAGAATTTTATTATTTATGAAAATAATTGAATTATTGCGAAAAATGTTATTAAAATGTTGAAAAAGAATTGAATTTCTTTGAAAAATTGTGTTATTTTTGAAAATAATTGAATTCTTCATAAGAATTTTATAATCATTGTGTTAAATTATTATTTTTTTAGAAATGTAATAAATAATTGTGAAAATTTAATTTGAAATAATTGAATATTTGTGAAAAATTTTATTTGTGAAAATAATTGAATTTTTCGATTAATTTACTTAAAATATTATTAAAAATAATTGAAATCTTGAGATTAATTTTATTATTTATGAAAATAATTGAAATTTTACAAAGAATTTTATCAAAATTTTCAAAAATAATTGAATTCCTGAGAATAATTGAAATTTTTCGCTGAGTTTTATTATTTATGATAATAATTTAATTCTTGCTTAAAATCTAATCAAAAAATTTTGTAAAAAAAATTGATTTTCCATGAAAAATGTTATTATATTATATTATATTTTATTATTTATGAAAATAATTGAATTTTGGATGAATTTTATTAATTTTTAAATAATTGAATTCTTTTGCGAAATTTTATAAAAAATACTAGATATTGAAAATAATAAATTGAATTTCGAATATTTTTTGAAAATATTTAAATCGTTTTAAAGAATTTGATCATAATTTATGAGAAATTTTTTTTTTATTTCTAGCATTAGCGAATTCAAAGTAGTGGAGATTCTCAAAAATGAACAGAAATAGTAGCTTTAAGTGGCTGAAATCTAAAAAATGTACCGAAATAGTAGCATTACGTAAAAAAAAAGTAGTAAATAGTATTGGTTTTAGTAGATGAGTGCGAAGGCTGACACAGTTTCGTCAGCGGATAGCTGACGAAAATATTTTCTATTTCAATGTTCTATTACTAAAAATTTTTTTTATCGTAGACTTTCGTCGGCGGACAGCAATGTTCTCGGTGACACGGCACTGGTGGAAAATTTAGAAACGACAAAACGAACGGCAGCCGAGGTGGAGAAGAAGGTTAAGGAGGCTCGTGGTACAAGCCGTGAAATTGACGCAGCTCGTGAATTGTACAGACCAGCGGCGGCAAGAGCCTCGCTTTTATATTTCATTCTCAACGATTTGAATATGATTAATCCGATTTATCAATTTTCATTGAAGGCCTTCAGTGTTGTATTTCAGAAGGCAATATTGCGAGCTGATCCGGCGCCCGATGTCGAGAGTCGAGTAGCAAATTTGATAGAGTGCATCACCTACTCGGTCTTCATGTACACGACGAGAGGACTCTTTGAATGTGATAAACTCATATTCACATCGCAAATGACATTTCAGGTATTGCTTGCGCGCAAGGAAATTTCTGCCACTGATCTCGATTTTCTTTTGAGGTTTCCCATCACTCCACACGTCACATCGCCTGTTGAATTTTTGACCAATACCAGTTGGGGTGGAATTCGAAGTTTGTCCAGCAAAGACGAGTTCCGGTAAATTTTTTATTTAAAAAAATTATCAATTACAGGGTTGCCACAAAAATTAAATTTTGATTTTTTCTCATTTTCAGACAAAATTTTGACTTTTTTCAACTATTAAAGATAATGCAAAAATATTGCATATAAAAAAAGATTGATGTTAATGTTCTGATGATAATTTATTATTGTATAATTAAATATTAAATTAAAAATAATATTTGAATACTTTTAACAAATTTTTTTCGTTCATCAACGTTGTGGACTTTAACTACGTTTTTTCCCTGACCTTAGAATATTCTGAATCACACTAAAAATAATTAGATACTGAAAAAAAATGTTCTATTACATTTGGTTACGAATTTCTTTAATTGTAAAATTATTCAAAAACATCAATAACTTTCTGAGACAATCAAAAAAGATACAAAAATTTAGAATTTCCTTATCAATTATAAAAATTCAATTTTTTCAGTACTTTTAATAAAATCCCTTGGTTTTTCCCTAATTTCCCCAATTTTTTCCTGAATTCACTGACCTGTGGTCTGACTAAAAATATTTTTTACTACTACTGCCAAGATGAAAATAATTTGAAGTAAAGTTTGAGGAAAATTAATTTTTACTACTAACGAAATAGTAATAAACGAGAATAAATCAAGTAGTAAAAATAATTTTTAGTCAGACTAATGATTCTTATAAATCTGACTAAAAACGTTTTTTACTATTTAAAAAAAAATTAATGTGAGACACCTGACGGAAATAGCTTTTATCATTAATTACTTTCACGAAAGAATAAATAAAAAAGAGCGAATCAAGTAGCAACAATCATTTTTAGTCAAAAAAAAAAAACGGTTTCAGATGAGATTAATGTGTCTGACTAACAATACTTCTTACTACTAATGTCATGAATAAAAAATAAGAGAAATTAAAAAAACAACAAGTTATCAAGATAATTAAAGAAGAATAAGATTTTGTGTTTATATAATTATTTTACTTGAATTCAATATATTCTTGAGATAAGAACGTCAAAAATTTTTTGTTTTATTATTAATCATCAAAGAATAAAAATATCATACATTGAAGTAGAATTCCTTCTTTTATCCCTTAATGGCAAATCAAATGTTTTGTTTGGAAGGGGAATCGACACTCTTTCACTATACAAAACTGTTCGAACATCTGTCTCTTCTAGTGCACCAATTGTCACTAACAAAGAATTTTACTATTTAATTCACTTCCCACTTTTTTAATTGCCTTTTGGTTTTAACTGAGTGAAGTTAATTAATTTAACAAACTTTTTGATAGCAACCTCATGTGCATCTTAATATCTTCCATGAACTTTTAGAACAATTTGATTTTCCTGAAAGTTAAATGTAGTAATTCTTGACAATCTTCATGAGCAAAGTAAGAGTTTTTTTGTCATTTACTTACAGGAAGATTAATTCCAAAAAAATCTGATCTATTAACATTTTCATTAAACGAATTACAGGCACACTTCTTTGTTTGAAAAAATTTAAACAATTTATCCCAATATTGATTTGTTCATCAGAAATTTCTAAGAATCTCAATTTAAGACCATTAGCTGCATCGAATTGTTGCGATGCAACTTCTTGACATGGAGTTAAAGATCTTAATTTGAGAACATAAAGAAAAACTGTGCTTTCTTGATGATAAAATTGATTAAAATTTCTGCTATAAGAACGATGATGGCCAAAGTGTATCCAATGATCAGCACATAAAAGAGAACCAATAGCAATTTTTCTTTTTCAATTATTTCTAGAGTTGCTGGAACTACTTTTTTTTGCAGATTATAGCCAGGAATTAGTAGTTTTTGCAGTAAACCGTGGTCGAAGGCTTTCAAAATTATTTCGTTAAAACGATCTTTAAGAGGTGATATTGTCCTTGTACTCCACGTTGTTGGGAAATACACGATAGACTCCTGTATTACTTCAAATCTGAATTCTTGTGTTTTACTACTACGTATTTTTACAGCAGCTTCAGCGTCTAACAATATACAAGTAACGTTTCTGTTCTTGTGCAAGTATTCTAAACAATCGTATGCCAATCCATTACCAGGCATAATAACCGATTTGAAGGCTAGTTTTCGAACGTGAACGAGAGGACTATTTGCCATTGTCGCATTTATAAAGGGGCTGATCATTGGTGTCAATGACGAGTTTGCCAGTTCTTCGAGAGTTGAAATTTGCGGTACTTCTTGAAAATTGATGTCCAAAATCACTGAGAACACGTAACCGGAGTAGACCATGCAGCTCAACATGAAAACACCAAAAACTATTCTCTCGGCTAATTTTCTTGGTTCTTTGATTACTGACATTCCCATTATGATTTGACTGATGCTGAAGGTGTTCCAAGTGCTTCTGTCAAATCGTAGCAACAAAGCTGCTATTCTAAGGGCAGCAATAGTAACAGTTGTTGCAACTATCATGTAAATCAATTCCTCAGAGACTTCAACACTTTGAGTTTTGCTTTTTGCATTTAAAATTACTGCCTTTGCTGTACTATACAACAAGATACGCATTGGTACACTATTAACAATGTTATTGTTTATTTCTTTTAATGTCACACTGCTTACCACCAGTTCTGCTTTTACTTTTTGTAGATAAGATGATTTTACTGTTTCACCGAAGGGTAGAAAATCAATTCCACAATGGAGTGATTGCACAATACAGTAGATGAATTTTACCACTTCAATAATACTTGCTGCGGATATGTAAGTACCGTTGATAATTAGCATTAATTTTATACGTTGTCTGTGGAGGTCCAGTAGTTTGTTTGGAAACCATTTTGTTCGTGGCTTAACTGTCAGTTTTGTGTATTTCTTTGCAAAAAGATTGATTCTGTGAATAGTTGCCACGTCCCTTGTTTGCCATGTTTGATTTTGAACCAAAGTTTCCAGTACAGAAATGTCTAGCATGTCGATGTGCCATAGTGATGTTAGCAGTTCCTCGTAAGAACGAGCCTTTATTTCATTACTGAAGTATATTAAGCACTTGGGGAAAGAATTTTCATAGGAGAGAATGTACAGTTTCTCGAACATAGCATATAAATAAGGATTAGTATTGTTTCCAAATCTTTCGAGAATAAAAGTAAACAGCGTCGTTCTTCTAGGAATTTGTAGATGTAATGAAAAGTACTTTTCCAAACCATCGTTTGCATCACGTGAACTTATGCTCAATGATGGAAAGTGTTTAGCAACATCACCAACAAGTTGTGCGTTAGCATTGGATTCTGCATTTGCAAGAAATTGATCATCAATTATAAATATTACCTGGTGTAGTTTTGATTTTTCTTTTAGGTATCTTATTAATCCAAAAGTGTAATTGCTTTTTCCTGACACATCCAGAAATGTTACACTAAAGAGCACAAGACCAAATGACATTCCTAAGAACTTCATAATCTTTTTATTCTTTAACGATAAATGAACCGTTCCGTTTGCAAGAGGAATCAACTCTGTTCTCGTAGTCTTACAGAAAAGCTGTTGTAAGTATGATATTTTCTTGTTGTTTGATATTTTTGAAGGGCATATTCGTCTATTTATGTGTGAAAATACTTGTAAAGGACCTACAATGCCTACAATTATCTGTCGTTTAAGCTAAAAGATAATAAAAATTGTTTTTTTAAAACTTCATTTTTCTCATATTTTCCATGAAGTTTAAAAGTTCATGGTTGTTAAGTTTTAAAATCTTTTTTTCAACACAATCGATTTTCACGATCGTTTGTTATTATTAGAAATTGTGTCATCACCAGGGAAACCCTAAAAAGTACAAAACAAAAATTATTTCTCAAAATATTTTAAAATACTTTTATCCTTTAATACAAAACCAAATGTTTCGTTTATGAGAAAAATCATCACTGTTTAAAAATTTTTTTTTTAATGTTTAGAGTAGTTATTTTTAATAATCTTCATGTGCAAAACTTGCGATTTTTTGACATTTCATTTTTCTAATATTTTCCATGAAGTTCAAAAGTTCACGGCTGTTAAGTTTTAAAATCTTTTTTTTCAACACAATGGATTTTTACGATCGTTTGTTATTATTTTTGAAAAATGAACAACCAACTGAAACAGTTCTGTAGAATTTTACTAGAATCATTCGATGGACTAATTATATTGAAATTCTAGTGAATATTCTATAGAATTCCACTGGAACAATTCTATAGAATTTCTACATGAATTCTCGAAAATTTTAGTGATTTTTAATTAGAAAGAATATAAATTTCTGTAAATAATTTTTTTTTAACATTGTATTTATTGTTTCCGTCAAACGTTTAATTAACTTCCTTTATTTTTATTATTAGTAAAAAAAAAGTAAGTGCAGTCAGACTCGTTGAAATCATAAAAAGTCTTTAGTCTGACTAAGCATGATATTTACTTCTTGATTTGCTTTCCTGGCTTATTATTACGTTAGATTTAAAAATAAATTTCCGTCAATTGCTGTTTTTTTAATTATTTTAATCTTGACAGTAGTAATAAAAATATTTGTTCACCTGGACTTATTAAAATCCCAAAAACCATTTGTCTGACTAAAAATGATTGTTACTACTTTATTTGATCTTTTTTTAGGTATTATTTCGCTAATAAGTAATTAATCGTAAAAGCGATTTCTGTCAAATGTTTCACATTATTTTTTTAAAAAGTAGTAAAAAATCTTTATTTATTATTATTTATTTTATTATATTTATTATTATTATTATTATTATTGTTTTTTATAGAAACATAATTTTTTTCGCTAAAAAAGAAAAAAACTAAAGATTCAGATTATTATTTTATTTTCATTTGATTTTTGATGAAAGAGATTTTAATTTTCGTTTTTGTTTTCAATTCCACACTAGGAATCTGGATAGAGATATAGAAACTTCGTCAAAACGTTGGAAGAAATTTATTGAATGTGAGTGTCCTGAAAGGGAAAAATTCCCCCAAGAATGGAAGAATAAAACGGCTCTTCAGCGACTGTGTATGTTGAGGGCTTTGCGACCTGACAGAATGACCTACGCGATTGCCGCTTTTATTGAAGAAAAATTAGGTTCACGTTATGTCGAAGGAAGAACTGTCGAATTCTCCAAATCGTTCGAGGAAACGAGTCCTTCAACTCCTATTTTCTTTATTCTCTCGCCAGGAGTTAATCCACTCAAGGCAAAAATAATAATTCTTTATACTTTTAAAATTTGCTTCCATTGATTTCTATTATAAATTGAATCCTTTGAATTTATGTAAATTCAATTAATTTACATAAATTAATTAATTAAATTCCTATTATAAATTGAACCCTTTGAATTTATGTAATCTTAATTAATTTACATTAAGTAATTAATTAATTAATAATTTATGTAAATAGAATACAATTTTAAAATACAATTTAGTCTTTATTAGGAAAATGTTGAAATGAATTTATTTTTGCAAATATGTTAATATTTAATTGTTAATTAATATTAATTAAGAAATCTTTTATTCATTGGCAATAGGATGTTGAGGATTTAGGAAGAAGATTTGGATTCACGTCGGATGATCAAAATTTTCATAATGTTTCACTGGGTCAGGGTCAAGAGAGTGTTGCTGAGTCTGCAATGGATGAAGCCTCACAAAAAGGCCACTGGGTTGTTTTACAAAATATACATTTGGTGAAAAAATGGTTGCCACATTTGGAGAAAAAATTGGAAGTCGCTTCTGAGGGTTCGGATCCAAATTACCGAGTATTCATGAGTGCTGAGCCTGCGAGTTCACCGTCCAGTCACATTATTCCACAGGTTGAACAATACTTAAATTAATTCACACTTGGCAAACATAATAAAAAGTAAATAAATAGAAAGGAAAAAAAATCTAATAATAATAATAATATTAGAAATCTTTTTTTTTTCGTTTAATATTAAAAAAAATTAGTCACAGGAATAGAAAATAACAGATTTCGCGCTCGATAATTAATTTTAAAAAAGTAGCAAAAAGTAGCTTTGAAACTAAAAAAAAGTAGTAAAAAATTAGCTATTCGAAAAATTAAACTTGACGATAAAAAAAACTCGTTTTAGACACTTCACAAAACTGACAAAAATTCCATTTTGTATTTTTTATTTTTATGACTTTGTCCTAATTTTCATCAAAAATATTTACTTCTTTCCTATCCTGATAAATTGAATTCCTGTAACAAATTTTATAAAAAAATTTTAAATAATTCATTTCTTTTAACTTATTTTTATGCAAATTCTAATTTTAATAATTGAATTCTTGAGAATTTTTTCTTTTTCATGAAAAGAATTTAATTTTTACAAAAAATTTTTAAATAATTGAATTCTTTCGAAGAATTATTTATGTAAATAATTGAATTCTTGGGAAGAATTTTATTAAAATCTAAAAGAATAATTGAATTATTTAAAAAAAAATTTAATTAAAATGAATTTAAAAAAAACATTTTTTTAAATAATTGATTTTTTCGAGGAATTGAAATTAAATTCTTATCAAGAATAATTACATTTTTTGAGCAAATCATGTAAAGTAATATTGAATATAATTTATAATCCTGCTATAAATTTTATTGTTTATGAAAATAATTTAATCCCTCTGAAGAAATTTATTTAAAAAACTTGTGAATTGAGAAAAATTTTTGAAAATAATTGAAATAATGACAAACTTTTTATTAAAATTTTTTTAAATAATTGAATTTTGGAGAAGAATTTTTTTATTTATAAATATAATTGAATTTTTTACGAGAATTGTTTAAATTTTTTGAACATAATAGAAATGCTGCACATTCCAAAGTTTATAAGAAAAACTTGTGAATTGAGGAAATTTTTTTAAAATAATTGAAATTTGCAAAGAGTTTTATTAAAATTTTTGAAAATAATTGAAGTTTTGTCAAATTTTTATTAAAATGTTTAAAAAGAATTTAATTTTTAAGGTTTATTTTATTTATAAATGTAATTAAAATTCTGACTGGAATTATTTTAAATTTTTTAACTTAATTAAAATTCTGCACAGAGTTTTATTATTTAAGAAAGTAATTGAATTATTCCAAAGAAATTTATAAAAAAAAACTTGTTAATTAAGGAAAATTTATGAAAATAATTTTAAACTTGACAATAATTTATTAACATTTTTGAAAATAATTGAATTTTGGAGAAGAATATTATTATTTATGAAAATAATTGAATCATTCAGAAGTATGAAAATCTTTTAAATAATTAAATTCTTGTAAATTTTTTTATTATTTATGGAAATAATTAAATCTTTGCGTAGAGTTTATAAAAATTGTTTTTAAATAATTGAATATGTGATTTACAAAGAATTATTTATGTAAGTAATTTGAATTGTTATAAAGAATTTTATTAAACTCTAAAAGAATAATTGAATTATTTAAAAAAAATGTAATTAAAATTGTATTTAAAATAATTATTTCTTTCGAGCAATTCTATTGAAATATTTGAAAACAATTGATTTCTTTCGAACAATTTTATTAAAATATTTGAAAATAATTGATTTCTTTTGAACAATTTTATTAAAATATTTAAAAATAATTGAATTCCTGTGAAAAATTCTAATATTTTTGTAAATAATTGAATTCTTCTAAAGAATTAAAAAAACACATTTTTTTAAATAATTGATTTTTTCGAGGAATTGAAATTAAATTCTTATTAAGAATAATTACATTTTTTGAGCAATTCATGTAAAATAGTATTAAAAATAATTAAAATCCTGCAATGAACTTTATTATTTACGAAAATAATTGAATTCCTAGGAATAATTTGATTATTATTTATGAAAATAATTGAATTATTACGAAAAATTTTATTATAATGTTTAAAAAGAATACAATTTTTGTGAAAACTTTTGAATATAATAAATTGAATTATTGTAAAGAATTGTTTAAAAATTATGTTAAATAATTTATTTTATCCAAATTTTTTGGAAAATGATATTCTAAATTAATTGAATTCCTGTGGATATTTTTTTTATGAAAATAATTGAATTTTGGATGAATATTATCAATTTTTTTTAAATAATTGAATTCTTTTAAGAAATTTTAAGATAATACTAGATAATGCAAATAGTTGAATTTCGAATATTTTTTTAAAATAATTAAATCTTTTTAAAAAATTTGATTATAATTTTTGAGAATAGTTTTTTAATTTCCAGTAGTGGAAATTAAATTAAATTAAAGTAGTAGTAAAAAAAAAATAGTAGTAAATAGTAGATTTTAGTAGATGAGTGCGAAACCTGATTAATAAATAATAAATGTAATGTGATGATTATTTTGAAAAGGGAATTTTGGAGTCGTCGATAAAAATAACGAATGAACCGCCAACGGGAATGCAGGCAAATTTACACAAAGCTCTGGATAATTTTACGCAGGAAACATTGGAGATTTGTAGCAAGGAAGCTGAGTTCAAGTCGATATTATTCTCCTTGTGCTACTTTCATGCAGTGGTTGCCGAGAGGAGGAAATTTGGTCCTCAAGGATGGAATAAAATTTATCCCTTCAATGTTGGCGATTTGAATATCAGTGTGAGTGTTTTGTATAATTATTTGGAAGCATCGCCAAAGGTGCCTTGGGAGGATTTAAGATATCTCTTCGGCGAAATAATGTATGGAGGACACATAACCGATGATTGGGATCGGCGATTGTGCGTTTCATATTTGGAGGAGTTAATGCAACCCGATCTTGTTGATGGAGAACTGCATTTGGCTCCAGGTAAATTTAATAAATAATAATATTGTTTATTGTTCATTTATTATTCACTTTAATGTTTATTATTCATTTATCATCTACGTTAATATTTATTATTTATTTTCTCTCTACGTTTATGTTAATTATTATTTATTATTATCTACGTTAATTATTATAAAACAAGAAGATATCGATCGAAGACCGAGTAATAAACTCATTATTTTACACCAACGTTAATATTTATTATTTATTTATTTTCCACCTTAATATTAATTATTTATTTACAATTCACGACAATGTTTATTTATTTATCATACATTGCAAAAAATAAAATTTCATTAATAAAAATTCTATTGACGGACAATATTCTTTGAATTTTATTAATTCAACAATCTTGAGGTCGAACGCAATCATCTTTTGAATTTAATAAAAATCCATCTTTGCATTCGCAGCCACTTTCAACGCATTGCTACAAAAAAAATATGTACAATAAAATTTTTGCTTCCTTATTTAATTATGTAAATAAATAAATCAATAAATTATTAAATAAATAAATTAATAAACAAAAGAATAAATAAATGAATGAATAATTAAGGAGAGGATACACCGATATTTTTAAAATTTAAATATTTCATAAAAATTTTTTTATATATTTATTTCCTTAGAGGAATTTTAATGATCATAAAATACAAAAGAGAACGGAAAATGTTTTGATCCTATTTGAACTTTTATTTTTCTTAAAAATTGGTAGATTTTGAAATCTATGCGTAATTTTGTGCAACATATGTTTTTGAATCTATAGAAAAAATTGCCAAATGAAAAAACTGATTTTTACAATTTTTAAAGCATTTTTTTTTGTTTTAAAAAAAACTTTTAGGCTGAAAATGCTAAAAAAATCAATTGTTATTCAATTTTTTTATTTAAAAATTCGTTTTTTTTTCTAATTAATTTCAAATCATAATTGCATCATAATTTTTTAATATTTTTATTTTATATACATAAAAATTATGATCTGAAATTATTTAGAAAAATAAAGAAATGAATTTTCAAATAAAAGTTAAATTAAATCATAATGTTATCATAATTTTTTAATATTTTTTATTTTTTATACATAAAAATTATGATTTAAAATTATTTAGAAAAATAAAGAAATGAATTTTCAAATAAAAAAATTGAATAGAATCATAATATTGAAATTTGAAATTTGAAAATTGGATTATTTTTCTAATTAATTTCAAATCACAATTTTTGAAAATTTTTAAATTTTTTTATACATAAAAATTGTGATCTGAAATTATTAAGAAAAGTAAAGATTTGAATTTTCAAATAAAAAATTGAATAAATATTACATTTAATAGCTTTTTCAGTCTAAAAATAATTTTTTGCTCAAAAAAATGCTTCAAAATATGTAAAAATCGATTTTTTCATTTGGCAATTTTTTTATGAACAAAAAATTATCCATGGATTTTTAAATCTACTAATTTTTAAGAAAAATTAAAGTTAAAAAATTGTCAAAAATATTTTTCGATCCTTTTTATTTTATGACCATTGAATTCCTCTCAAAAAATTACTATAAAAACAATTTTATGGAGTATATTAAAATTATTTTATTGATATAATTAAAAATATCCGTGTACCCTCTCCATAAATAAATAAATGACTAAAATAAATAAATGAAAAAATAATTAAATAAATGAATAAATAAACAAATAAATAAATGAAAAAATAATTAAATAAATGAATAAATAAACAAATAAATAAATAAATATAAAGATAAATGAAAAAATAAATTTTAAATTAAATTACTTGTACCTAAGACAAAAATTTTATACACTTTTTGCAAAAATTAATTTTACAAAATCAACTTGACAAAAAGATAAATAAATTATGAAAAATCTATTTGTCATAATAAATTTTGTTTGAAAATTTTTTTTGCAATATGCATTTTGCCAAAGAATTGTTTAAAATTTATTTTGGAAAAAATTTAGAAAAATTATTAAAATTGTTATAATAATTACTACAGAATAATTATGTAATGAAAAATAAAATATATTTCTATATTTTATACGTACAATTTTGAAAAGTCTTTTCTCATATTTTCCACATCTCGGTGGACTTGAAAATCCACAAATTTTATATTCCGCATTTGGCTTGCAAGCATCTACAATTAATATTTTCTTAATATTTTCAATTATCATATTATTATTTTTTAAATATTTTTTTATGTAATATAAAAACTTAATAATTGTGATTTCAAAAAAAAATTCTCTTCTAATTTTATAATTTCCAAAAAAATAAAAGAAAACCTACTTTCCGCTGGCGCTCCAAAAGCGATCACTAGACAAAATGCAAGAAAGATAATAATCACTTGAAACTTCATCATTAACTATTTGTCTTCACAAAGAACTTTGCGATTTTATTCAGAAAAATCTGACACTTTGACTTTTCGTTCAAGAAAAAAAGCCATTTTGCATATAGAAATTTAATTTGCAAATAAATAATTGACAAAAAAAAAATTGTTATTTTTCACTCGTAAAATATTTGCAAATTTTGCACTTTGATTGTTTTGATTTATGATTAAGATTTATCATGATTTAGAGATTTATGATAATGGAAAAAAATCGATAATAACAAAAAAAAGCCGCACATGACGGAATCTCATAAAATGCAATTTATGTCGGGGAAAAATGCAGTCTCATGAGTTTTTAGGTTTCCCTGCCCCACCAAATACCGACTTGGTTGGTTATCATACATATATCGATGAGGCAATGCCACCAGAATCTCCATATTTATATGGTCTTCATCCAAATGCTGAAATTGGTTTTTTAACAACAACATCGGAAAATTTATTTAAAACCGTTTTTGAAATGCAACCAAGAGACGCTGGCAGTTCGGGTGGTCAAACTGTTACCAGAGAGGAAAAGGTTAGTGTGATAAGAAAAATTCTAAAATTCAAAGAAAAAAATTAAATAAGTCAAATAAAAAAATTAAATAAAATGTAAAAAAACAAAAATTAATTTTAATTAATAAATTAATTAAAATTAATTAATTCTTCACTCCCCTAATTTATAAAGAGAATTTTTGTACTTTTTTCTCCTATCCTGGGGAGCGATTTTTTAATTTGACTTTCATTTTCAAATTTCGATTCTGACTTTGATTTTTATTTTAAGTCAACTTAATTACAATTCAATATCATTAAAATTTCAACAATTCGAAAATTTGTTAATTAAACATATATTCAAAAATTCAACTAATTTCAAAAAAATATTAATAAAAATTTTTCAAAAAACTAACTTCTTTAGAATTTTTAATCAAAATTTATGAAAATTAAAATTTTCTAGAAATTCAATTTTAAATCTTTTGAATTTTTTTTCTATTACTTTTTGTAATTTTTATAACTTTTTTATAATTGTGAATCTGAAATAATTTAATTCTTGCATAGAATTTTATTAAAATTTTTGAAAAAAAATTTTTTTTTTGAATAATTTTATTAAATTTTTGAAAATAATTAAATTCTTTCGGGGAATTTAATTACAATTGTATTGAAAATTATTGAATTTCTATAAAGAATTTCATAAAAATGTTTAAAAATAATTGAAAATTCCTATAAAGAATTTTATTATTTACGAAAATAAATTAATTCCTGCAAAGAATTTTATAAAAATTATATTCAAAATAATTGAATTCTTGTGATAAATTTTATTATTTATAAAAATAATTAAAATTTTGGTTAGGAATTTATTAAAATTTGAAAGAAAATTAAATCTTTTGCAAAGAAAAAAAAGTGTTTTCTTTAACACCAAATGTGGTATTACAACAACAAGCAACACTTTTTTTTTAAATTCAAAATTGTGTTCAAGAATTTCATAAAAATTTTTTAAAATAATTAAATTTTTTCAGAGAATTAAATTATAATTATATTTACAATAATAGAATTCATATAAAGAATTTTATATTTTTTAAAAAAAATTGAAAATTCCTCCGATGAAGTTTATTATCTTTGAAAATAAATGAATTCTTACAAAGGATTTTATTAAAATTAAATTCAAAATAATTTAATTCACTTTTTTTTTAAAAATTCAAAATAGTGTTGAAGAATTTTATGGAACTTTTTTAAAATAATTAAATTTTTTCGGGGAATACAATTATAATTATACAATAATAGAATTCTTATAAAGAATTTTATATAAATTTTTTAAAATAATTGAATTTAAAAAAAATAAAATAATTAAATTCTTATAAAGAATTTCATAATAATTTTTTGAAAATAATTGAAAATTGTTCTAAAAAATTTTATTAAAATTGTATTCAAAATAATTGAATTCTTCTAAAAAATTGTATTATGTATGAAAATAATAGAATTTTTGCAACAAATTTATACACAATTTAGAAAAAAATTGAATTTCTACTTAGAACTTTATTATTTTTAAAAATAATTGTAATTTTGACGAGAATTTAAAAAAAATTTTGAAAATAATTGAATGTATGCAAAGAATTTTATTAATAAAAAAAAATAATAAAAAAAATAATAATTAGTCGAAATTACTGTTTATTTGTAAAATTTCCGAATTTAAAAACAAAAAGTTTCTCACTAATTCGAATTAACAAACATTTTTACTAATTCAAATTTAGAGAACATTTTGGCTATCAAAATCAAAGTGAAGGTGAAATTCAAAGTGAAATTTAAAGACTTACTTTCACTCTGACTTTGATTTTTTCTTTAAAAGTCAAAGTAAAAATAAAGGTCAACGCCAAAGTCAACATTAATATCAAAGTCAAATTGAAAGTCAAGTCCAAAATCAAAGTCAAAGAAAAATTATAAAATCGCCATTATGGTTTCTTAAAAAAAATATTCAGAGTTTTTTCTAAGGTTTGAAATTTATTAATCCATTGATTTAATTAATAATTAATTTAAAACCTACAGGTGAAACAAATATTGGACGAGATAATAGAAAAATTACCGGAGGAATTCAACATGACGGAAATAATGGGTAAAGTGGAGGAGCGAACGCCCTACGTTATTGTTGCATTTCAAGAATGTGAAAGAATGAATTATCTCACGGGGGAAATTAAGAGATCACTTCGCGAATTAGATTTGGGTTTAAAAGGAGAATTGACAATTACATCGGACATGGAGGATCTTGAGAATTCACTGTTTCTCGATCAAGTGCCGACAGTTTGGACCCAAAGGGCTTATCCTTCACTACTTGGACTCACTCCCTGGTTCGTTGATTTACTCTTGAGACTCAGAGAATTGGAAACTTGGTCCACTGACTTTGTGGTAAGAGATTCAATTAATTTCTCTTAATTAAATAATATACCTTGAAACTTGTTTGGCATTGGAATTTATGAAAGTACTCTTGAAATTAAATCTCTTAAGTGTTTATTAGTTTTCTTGAAATTTTTAAATTGTTTAAACCATTTTTTAACAAAATAAACAGTTTGGAATGTGAAAATACGTAATTTTTATAAGTTATTTGCACTTAACACTGAATGTTAAGTGTGAATAATTTACCGTATTCTCGAAATTGAATCTTTAAGATGTTTATTAGTTTTCGTGAAAGTTTTAAATTGTTTAAACAATTTTTTAACTAAATAAACAGTTTGGAATGTGAAAATACGTAATTTTTATAAGTTATTTGCACTTAACACTGAATGTTAAGTGTGAATAATTTACCGTATTCTCGAAATTGAATCTTTAAGATGTTTATTAGTTTTCGTGAAAGTTTTAAATTGTTTAAACAATTTTTTAACTAAATAAACAGTTTGGAATGTGAAAATACGTAATTTTTATAAATTATTTGCACTTAACACTGAATTTTAAGTGTGAATAATTTACCGTATTCTTGAAATTGAATCTTTAAGATGTTTATTAGTTTTCGTGAAAGTTTTAAATTGTTTAAACAATTTGTTAAAAAAAACCATTCAAAATGCAAAAAAGATAATTTTCTTGTGTTTTTTTTGTAATTAAAAGTAAATGTTAAGCGCACCTAATTGTTTTCTAATTTCCCAGATCAATTTCACTTCTCCTAGAATTTTTCCCACTTCACCTGATTTCCCTGACGTATGTCAGCACACACTTAAACCTAAAAAAACAACTAATTTTCCTGTTTATGAAAAAATTAATATTTCAGTTGCCATCGTCAGTGTGGTTGGCAGGATTTTTCAACCCTCAATCGTTGTTAACAGCGATAATGCAGTCGACAGCCAGAAGGCATGAACTTCCCCTCGACAAAATGTGTTTGCAGTGTGACGTTACAAAGAAGAATAAAGAAGAATTCACGTGAGTTTTATAATAAAAATAAATTGGATTTTCCTCTTTTTATTTATTTTTTCGTTTCCTTTTTGCCTTCATCTATATTTTTCTTTATAAAATCTTTTAAATAATTTAAGGTCAGCGCCACGGGATGGTGCTTACGTTCATGGAATCTTTATGGAAGGTGCACGATGGGATGTTCAAGCGGGAATTATTGTTGATTCGCGACCAAAGGAATTGTTTCCAATTATGCCAGTGATAAATATACGAGCGATTACTCAAGATAAACAAGATTTAAGGAACATGTATGAATGTCCTGTTTACAAAACGAGAACACGAGGTCCAACCTACGTTTGGACATTTAATTTGAAGACAAAAGATAAACCCGCAAAGTGGACATTGGCAGGAGTTGCTTTATTATTACAAACCTAATTAAAATTTTTAATGAGATTTATTTTTTGTGTTTATTGTCAACCGGGGCAATTATAGAACGGAAAAATTCAATTTTACCCCGTTTCTTCATTATTTTGTTAATTACATTTATAATTTATCTTCTTTTTGTTCATTAAAAATTCCAAATGGCCTTAATAACTTTCTGTGATTCCTGCGTTATTGTTGATTTTCTGTTATTTTCCAAATCAGTATTATTGTTACAAACGTTATTAAAGAAAATATTATTTATAAAAAATTCCAGTTGTCTTTTAAAACTATTAAATGTTACCCAAAAAATGCGGTACTCAATGTATTGTTATTGTGGAAATAAAAAATTTGTTATTTTCAAATATCAAATTCAATTTTTTAATAAAATTTCAGATTCATAATTATTATTTTTCTAAAAATTAATTCATTTTTTTCAAATTATACAAAAATTTTTTTAAGAGAAATCATTTTCATATTTCTAATTACAATTCTTCAAAAATGTTAATGATTTTTTGTTATAATTTGTTTTTCATTTTTAAATTATAATTTATTAATAAGTAATAACAAATTAAAAATGAAAAATAAATCAAATTAAAATTGAAATCAAATTCAATATTAACTAATCCGAAAAGAAATAAAATATTCACGATTAAAGCTCTCGAACTCCCAATGTGATTGACAACTATAATCGGAAATAGACTTTCAAAAAGATCCAATATTTGAAAATTTTATCATCATTCAGAGTACCTTTTCAATTTTTTGCACCCTCGCTTTTTTTTGCCGAGTGGATATAATAAATAATTTATTATCGCTTCAGTTCATAGAGTGAAAATTGAAACGCAATTCAAAAGTTGAGAATCGATAATATATAAAAAAAGATGGAAGATTTACCTAAACAAAAATTCGCTAAAAATATACTCTATATATGAGAATGTAATTTACGAACCTCCTCGTGGAATTCTAAAAGAAAAAAAAAGAAACAACACGACAAAAGTCGCGAAAGATTTATATGCGAGGACTTTTGCTTTTCACAAAATAGGATCAAAATTGCATTGTGTTAGTCAAAGAAATTACATTTTCCTCCCCTCCCATATCATACATATATATGTTATGTATATTATATATATAGAGTGTGTATACGCCTCTTATACGAAAAAGGGGATCGAGAAAAGATTTTAGAGAACAGAATAGGTTCTATCAAATATGCAGAGCTTATTAGCTTTCAACGGTTGAAGAAAAATGTTTGTTCCCTCGCTCTTTTTTTTTTTGCCTCCTGAGTCTCAATCTTCGAATGTGAACCTAATATATAAACGAAGAGACAGTTTTTTGGGACGATGAGAATTTTCTCTCCAAATGAGTTTGTAATTTAACAAGCAAGAAATTGTATTTTTTTTCCCCTCTTTACAAGTTGCATGAAACAAGATTTATTCTGAAAATTATAAAAAAAAAATTAAAAAATCTATTTACTTATTCATTTGCTTATTTATTAGTTTATTTATTTATTTGTTTATTTACCTATTTATTTATTTATTTATTTATTTTTCCATTTATTTATTCATCTATGAATTTAATTTCTTTATTTATTTACCTATTTGTTTATTTACTTCCCTATTTATTAACTTGTCTCCATATTTATCTGTTTATTTATTTATCTACCTTTTTATTTATTTTTCTGTCAATTCATTTGTCTACTTATTTATCTATTTATTCATTAACTATTTATTTATGTATTTTTATTTACTAATTTATCTATATATTTATTTATCTGCTTATTTATTTATTTGTTTATTTACATACTCATTTATCTATTTGTTTACATAATTGTTTATGTATCTATTGATTTACCTGTTTTTTATTTACCGATTTATCTATTTGTTTATATATTTTTTTATTTATCTATTTTATTATTTATTTATCCCTCTATTTATTTATTTATCTATTTATTTTCCTGTCTCTTTATTTATCTGTTTATTTATTTACCTTTTTGTTTATTTACTTACGTATTTATCTATTTGTTTACATATTTGTTTATCTTTCAATTTAATTTGTTTATTTATTTACCTATTTGTTTATTTACTTCCCTATTTATTTACTTGTCTCTTTATTCATCTGTTTATTTATTTGTTTACATATTTTGTTTATGTATCTCTCGATTTACCTGTTTTTTATTTACCGATTTATCTATTTGTTTATTTATCTATTTTATTATTTATTTATCTCCCTATTTATTTATTTATCTACCTGTTTATTTATTGTTCTATTAATTTATTTGTCTGCTTCGTTATCTATTTATCTATTTATTTATTTACTGATTTATCTATTTGTTTATTTATTTGCCTATTTATTTATTCCTTTAATTACATATTTATTTATTTGTCAGGCATCGGACTGGATTTAAAAATTAAAAATAGTTTCAAAAGTGTCGTAAAATCTGTAAAATGTTCGAAATAGTTGCAAATAGTCGCACATTATTTATTTATACCATTGTATTTAAATAAGACACGTAATAAATGTGCAGCAAAAATAAAATTTAAATTATTCTTGCAACACTTTTTTTATTATAAAAATGATTTTGAGTGATAAAATATGGTGGTTTAATTTCTCCACTTGAGAACGCCAAGGTCGCCACCAGGTGTTGAGGAAGCTGATTTTGCTAACTTAACTGCCACCTAGCGGTGACCTTGGCGTTCTCAGGTGGAGAATAGCAACTCCATATTGAATCTCAATATGTTCGTAATTTTATAATTTTTTTATAATCAAATTTCGAGAGTTTGTCAATTAATATAAAGGGATTTTAATTTTTAATTTACTCTAATTTGCGGATATTTTTATGTTCTTCAATTTCTCTTTAGAGTCATAAAAACAATTTTAGTTAGAATATCTTTTTACTAAATATTTATCGATCATTTGCAGAAATTTAAAAAAGCATAATTCACTAAAATCAGCGACAAAAAAAGAGAAAGTAATTACTATATATATAAACACAAGAAACATGAAAATTTAACTTCCAGTCTTATCGATTCATATAAATCACCAAGTTTTCATAGAAAACAGGTGGATCACGACACGCGATAGTAACAGTCAAATTTCCAAGAAAGGGTTCCCTAAATATGTACTTGAAAATTAATAGGACCTTGTCTTCATTAAGGAAAGAAATTGGACAGACAGTCAAATCAAAAGTTATGGTCCAATTCCATATTTTTGTACTTTTTCCAACAAAAAAAAAAAGAAATTTATTTAAAAATTTTCACTTTTAATGTGAGGGATTTTATTTTAATTCTCGTTTATTGCCTTAACAATTAAAAGTTTATAATTAAATATTTAATTACCACAATTATCATTTATTAAATTAATTATTAATAAATAATAAATCATTACTTAATTATTATTTATTTACATATTTATTTATCCATATAAACGAATAGATATAATAAAAATAACTTAAGAATTAAAAATATTTCTACAGATGTTTTTTATTTTTCCCCTAAAAAAATAAATAAATTTTTAAACCCTTTTTATATACATAAACTTTAATTGCAAAATTCTCTTTTAAAAAAGAATTTGCATAGAGTGTCCGATATCGCATAGAGTGCGAACTCACTTAAATTGAAAACTTGATCGACTGAATTATAAATTGTACTTGGAGAATTGATGACATGAAAAAGTTGAGATTTCGAGTTATTCAACTTTTAGAGAGACGGGGCCGTCGTCGTTTTCAACGTCCCACGTGGTGACACGTCGAACTGACAAGTAATTTGTCACTGTATATACGTATAAACGATCAGTATTTGCCGACCAGACGCATTTATTCACGCAACACTTGAATTCTTTCTTTTTATAAATTTTATTAATTTAATAATAAATTATTATTTTTGTAAATTTCGTATAGTATAATAATTCAATGATTCTTCATTGTGATTTTTTTATGAATTTTAAATAAGTTTTTTAATTATGAATTTTAATTATGTTTTTTATTTTTTCAATTTTTATAAAACTTTTTACTTAGGTACTAATTTCTATTAATTATTAAATTAAATTAAATTATTCATTTGTAATTTATTAGCTACTAAACAATTCATTACTAATTGACTATTATTAAAGTATTCACTGTTAATTATAAATTTATAAATTATTATTTATTAATAATAATTCTACTATTATTAATAACAATAATAATAACAATATTAAAAAAATAATTTATTTATACAGTAGTCACAGGCTTACAATAAAAGAAAAATTTTAAATATAAATTTTTTAAATAATTTCATAATCCAAATTTAAAAAATTTACTTATTAAGTACAAAATTAATTATTACTGTTCATATTTTTAAAAATTTTAATAACATGTTCACGAAAGAATTCAATTATTTTTTTAAATAGTAAAATCTTCACAACAATCCAATGATTTTCAAAACAATTTTTAAAAAATTCAATTGCTTTCAAAATTTTCAATTAAAATTATTAAAGAAACTTCATTAGTTTAAAAAAAAATTCAAAGAAATTCTTCAAAAGAATTTAGAATTTTTTTAAATTTTAATAAAATTCTTTGCGAGAATACATTTATTTTCCTAAATAATAAAATTCTTTGAAGGAATTCTATTATTATCAAATTTTTTGATAAAATTCTTTGCAACAATTCGATGATTTTCAATACATTAATTTTAAAATTGAAACTTCTTTATTATTTATTATATTAATTAATATTTAATTCTTACAAACAATGAATTTTCCACAAAAAAAAAAATTTCTAGTTTGTTTTTGTTTTATTTTATTGTTAAAAAAAAAGATTTTAAAGAGAGATTCCCTTTTTTATTAGCTGCAAACGAATCTAGGGATATTTGATTTGGGCCCCTACGATGTAAGAATATTTGAATTATATTAATGAACCGAGGGACGAATATCGATTGTTGGCTTCAATCGAGAAACAAGAGTAGGGTTCTCTATAATTACAGGACCAGAACAAATGAAAGGGAATTTTTTTTAACAATCCTTTTTCCGATGCAATTCACAAATTGACTAAAATTATCAACTTAAGTCAATTATCATTAACTGCAATATTTGTCGTAAAATTAATTAAAAAAGAATTTAAAACTGAATGTAGAATAAATCGAAAAGGAAATTTGGAAAAGCTTACTAGCTTTTATTTTTTTTTTTTTTTAATAAGCTAGTAAGCTTTTCCAAATTTCCTTTTCGATTTATTCTACATTCAGTTTTAAATTCTTTTTATTAATTTGAAAAACAATGGAAAAAAAATTGTGATCAAATTTTAATTTAGAAATTTTAATTTAAAAGAGAAATAAATAAAGAGGGAACTCCAAGGGACAATA